GTGAGGAACAGCAGAAATGGAAGTGTTTATTACAAACACAGCAGGGAGCTGCCGATGAGATTTATGCAAAGTGGTCAATGATCTGCTTCCCTGTGAATCCCAGATCTCAAACGTGGTGATCTCAGGGGCAGAGAAAGGTCATCCTCACATGGACTATCGAGGAAACAGTTGTCACCAACAGTAGGATTTGCAGACAAGGTCCAAGACATGTCCAACCATTATCACATTTTCAGCCACTCATCTGCAGATTTAATGGAAGCAGGGTGGTCCTGCACACCTAAGACTGCAGTTAGCAGCCCACATTTAATCCAGAATCTGAGTGTATCTTTATGATTGTCCCCACCATATGGAGAAGACTCCAGGAGTGATCTCTCTGCCAGTTGACCACTAGGAGGTAATCCACATCCATAGCCTACCTTGCCATCCTCGCCTATGCTGTAGACTGTGTTCTCATCATAGCTGAACTCGACGGAGTAGACTTCCCCATCATGTGCCTTCCAGCTCATGGCGCACTCATGCTGCTGCATATCTGAGGGGAGAACCAGTACTGAACACTCCTTGTACTCACACAGAGCTGAGGTGAAGACAGGGAGGCCTTTTATGTTCCTGAGGTCTCTGTGACAGTCCTCCAAACCAGTCTGTGGGAGCCCAATCCAGTCCCAGTACTCTGTGCTTACACTCCTGCTTTCACTTTTTCAAAAATTATTTTAACTACTTGACCTTAAGGGCCACTCACATGCTCACTGTCTACTGCAGGCATTCTGCATCCAAGCACCACTGGCATCCTTCCTCCCCTTGTTATCCTGCCCATCGTCCCAGCTGCTGACAGCTCTGTCCTCCCAAAGACCTGGGACTGCATCCTCCACCTGTGCCAGGAGCACATTCCCCATTCAAAGGCAGGAGGCCTGAACTGCCTTCATTGCAAGGATAGGCTGAAGAGGACAAAAACCTGAGAAACAGAAATTGCTTCCAGAAGGAGGACTGATGTGAAGCCCTTGCATTTAAATGGAAGGTCTCACATTAATTGCTTTCCTCATGACTCAGCCTCTAGTATCTAGTGGCACAGCACAAGACCACATGGCTTAAAGGTAAATTTACCCTCCAGCAGGAGAGAAACAACAAATCCAGCAGCATTACCAGGGTCTCCAGCCAATATCCTCCAGAAAAAGTCCATGTCAATTCACTCTAGAGAGCTCCTGAGGAGAAAATAGCTTCCACCTTGGTCTCCAAGCATATCCTACATCTGCCTCCCTGCTAGGGGCATCCAGCTGAGGACTAGGGGCCACCTCATTCCTCAGTTTCACGGAAACATTTAAGTTAGAAAAGACTTCCAAAATAATCAAACTCAACTGTTACTTTAACACTGCCAAGTGCACCACTAAACTATACTCCTAAGTGCCACATCTGTAACATCTTTTAGTACTTCCAGGGATGGTGACTCCAGCACTTTGCTGGGTAGCCTGCTCCAGTGCTTGACAATCCCTTTGGTGATGGAAGTTTTCCTAATATCCCATCTAAATCTCCCCTGATGAAGCTTGAGACTGTTTCCTCCTATCTTATCCCTTGTTACCTGGGAGAAGAGACTGACTCCAACCTGGCTACAACCTTCTTTCAGGTAGTTGTAGAAAGCAGCAAGGTGTCCCCTCAGTCTCCTTTTCCCTAAGGTAAAGATCACCAGCTCCTGCAGCCACTCCTCATGTGCTCCAGACCCATCACCAGCTTTGGTTTTGTTCTTTGGACACGCTCCAGCCCCCAGCGTCTTTCATGTAGTGAGAGGCGCAAAACTGAACATGCTGTTTGAGGTGCAACCTCAGCACTGCCAGGTGCAGGGGGATAATCATCTCCCTCATCCTGCTGGCCACACTATTTGTGATACAAGCCCAGGTGCCAGTTTTGGCCCCCTGGCCTCACAGCTGGCTATCAACCAATATCCTCAGATCCCTTTCCACCATACCAAAGAGACGAACAATCCCATCTGCAGCCCCGGTGACCAGAAGGTTGCCATTGTGGTTGAAGGCTGTGCAGTTAAGAGCAATGGGCTCAGGCTCCAGGGAGAACTGCAGCTGGAAAGGAAAATCTGCATTAATGCTGAGAAATGGAGCTAAGGGTGCTGAAAAGCTAAACTCCAGGGAAAGGAAGGAAGAAAGAAAGAAAAATGGTATTTAGTAACAAGAACTCTGGTTTGGAGCCCTACACCTCTAATGACTACAAACTTCAATGTCTGGCAGCAGCATTTTACTGTGACACTAAACCAGCAATTCACCTCAGCCAAGCCACAGCTTTCTTGGCCATGGCCTCAAGGTTGCAAAACCAGCTTCTGGCAGGCATTAGCTTGAGTATGTTGCTTTCTCCTACATGTCGGGGACAGCACTTCACTGAAAAACAGGGAAGGCAAGGGAAACAGCAGCAACGAAAACCCTTCAGTACAGCTCAACTGGAGAAAGCCTGAGCAAAGCATCATTCAATCCACTTGGGATAGTTCCAGTCACAAACTGTGCAGCCAGGACAGAAACAAGGCCATGGACTATTCTGAAGAATTCTTTAGAAAAACCCCAACACACCAATGAAACAAAAAAACTTCACCCAATCCAGCAGCTACTTACATTATTTATTTTTATCCTGAATGTGACAGAGGGGAAAAGGAGGAAGGAGGAAAAAGAACGGTGTTGAAAAGAAAGTCAGCATAATTTAGAAAGAGGACTCCTACACATTGAAAAAGAAGACACTCATTCTCAGCAAGCAGACTGAGAAAGTAGAGAAACGCAGCAAGTACCTGCTGTTTCATTGTCTTAGTGTCCCACAGTAGCAGCTTCCCAGGAACTTGGTTCATGCTTTTGCCCCCAGAGTTGATTACTGAGAAGTCAATGTGGGAGACGGGGCTCTGGGCTGCGGCAGAGCAGACAAAGGAGGCACCACTTGGGCTGCAGGCAAGCGAGAGGATCCTGAAACACAGGCACATGGTCTGAATCACCTTTCTTCTGCAGCTGCCTCAAGCACAACACTCACCTATGAGCTCGCCCATTAAGACCCCACAAGACAGGGTGCACTGTTAAAGGAGGGCAGGATTCATGTGCAGTTTTACACTGCTCAGGCAGAGACTTCTCTCTAGAAAAAGGCTAGATAGTCCTGTAGCTGCAGAAAAGCAGCAGGAACATTGAGATGCTCACTATTAAAACCAACACCATTTATTTCTATTTATATATAAAAAACAGTATTCCAGAGTTACCTGGGCATGTCTTCATCAATGCTGATTTCACAGAGATTCTTCTTGGCTTCTGTGTCATAAAGACGAACTGTCCCGACCCCGCTGCCAAGCAATAGCTTGAAACCAGCAAGGAAGTAGATGGAAAGAGTGTAAGTGAGCAGTATAATGATGCTGGCCAACAACCACCAAGACTCAGTAATTTTTTTTATTTATGCTTTCAGGCTAAATATTACTCCATTATGGTACATCCTGTCTTCTTGTGCAATCACACTGAGTAGGACTACCCCAAAGCCACAGAAGTCAGAGTTAAAAACTCTGCTTCCCAGTGAGAAAAAGATCTAATAGGCACCAGGGTGGCATAAACACCACTTTCTAGATCATGGCTCAACCCTATAGGATGCCAAACATGTATGGAGTCTCAATATCTAGGGGTCCAAGAAAAGAGAAGCAGGCAGAAGCCAACTCCTTCCACTCATGGGAGGGCGAAATCATCCAGAAGAACTCACACATGTTTTATCAGTGGTGTTACAATTTCAGTTACATTTTAAGTCATGGAGAGATGTATTATAAAAGAAAATTTAGCAAGCCAGGTCTTTGTCACTTCAGTGCCTAATTTGCTGTTGAATCCTACATGTATTTCAGAATGAAGAATTTTTCTGTTAGCAAGAAGGAAATAAATTCCACAAAACAGAAGAAACATCATCACAACAAACAAAGCACAACAAATGCATCAACAACTTGCTTTCTAAAAGCAAAAGAAGAGACAAGCTGTAGCACCAGCTCTTCACAGCTGGCATTTTGGGGTTAGTAAGCCACACGTTGTCAGTGTCAAAATGCAAAAAATATGGCCTCATTTGCAGGCCAGCCTTCTCATACAGCCCTGTGTGTGCCAAGCAACACTAGCAACAGTTCCAGGACTCAGAGGAATGCATATAAGTTAAGGCTCCTCTCTAGTAACAGAACTAGAGAAAAAGGGATATGGGAAACATTTAAACTGCCATGTTATTTAAACAAGCTCCAAGCTCCTTAAGCACACACGGGCCCCCAGCTCTTAAGACACCAGTCTAAAACTGGCTATGGAGCTTTTTTCACACCTGCACAAGTAAAATGCCACCCCCACAACCCTGTTTCCCCTTCTCTGCTGCTGGCTCAGGGTATGAGTAAAGCTCTCTGCTGCAGGCCTCCCACAGGCTATTGTACTTGGTTGCCTCTGCCTGTTTTTACAAGTTGCTGTGTGATCTGTGTGAAGACGGGCATTTCTCTCAAAGGCACTACTTCTATCCTGCAGCTGTACCCACACTGCAGCTTGGGAATCTCTGTTTCAGGGCAAGTGGTGGTGAATTCCTTGCTCAATACAAAGCAAAGCATACACTCCCCACTGTAGTTTTTCTTAGACCCTAGAGGCTTTGGTTCCCTGTGTGCCACTAAAAGTGGAAACTAACTGCTGCCCCAATCTCATCCACAGTACAGCTGTCTAGAAGTGAACATGCAACATGTAGCAACACAGCCCAAATCATCTGCTGCACTTCCACACGCAGACTACTCACCAGCCGATCCCGCTTGGTGGCCCATTCCAGGGACAGCAATGGAGATTTGGAAATGGATGAAGCTTTCGTTTGCATTATGGGGTTAAAAGACCAGACTTTGATGACCCCATCCACATCCAAGCTGGCCACCCTCCGTCCAGAACAATCAACCCTGTGTGTAGAATGAAACTGATGGGATATTTTTCTCCCTCAAATCCTTAGATGCAGCCCACTAATCCTTCCTTTCCTAGCCACACACCAGTTCCTTCTGCAGGAATTAGAACTTCTTTGCACTACTTTCTGCTCACTTCAGAATAACTGCCACAACGAAGCACACTAAGCTCCAGACGTAAAGCATAATGCCCTTGAGCAATACCTGCTTTCCAAGGGAGTTTCTTCCTGGCTAGCACTGCCCAATCACAAAAATCTCTGTCCATTCTCTCTGCACAAGCTACATGCTATTTTCAGTCACGCTGACTTGACTGCCCTACAACTGAGAGTATACATCCAATGCACTGGACAGAACAGAGCCAGGGAGAAAGAGGCCAGACACAGCTGATCCTTCTGCAGAGGTTTCTACAAGACAACCCTCTCCTGCCAATGCATTACTACCTGCAGTACATGATGGATGAATGGTGCTCCCCATACTCCTCTTGGCTCAGGACGATGAAAGGCTGTTCCTGCCGAGTCCCCACAGCCTCTGCACTGCTGCCAGGCATTTTGGTTGAAGTCTCTGTTTGCTCAGCATGCAGCTCTGAGCATGGTTCTGACTCAGCTATGCTAGTATCTGTTTTCTTCTCAGCACTTTGGCCCTGAAGGAAGAAATCCTGTGTGAAATACAAGGAAGCAGCTCCATATCAAGCTCCTCAGCTACCCCAGCCTGCTGGGAGAAAAAAAAAAAAAAAAAAGCAGCTGCAACAAAACAGAAGCACTGTCAGCCCAACACTCCTTCTGCCTGTACAAGGACCATGTGTTGCACAGCTGCATTATTTAATATGGCCTGCTTAGTTGTTGAGTCCCTTATATCCCTCTCCATGTGCCCAGCTATACACTTGCTATACACTTTCCTGTAAGAATTAAAAGAACCACAACATTTCTAGAATAGCCCAGCCATATCTGAGGCCCATTTACATGCCATCAGAGCACAGATTCACAAATAAATCAACACATTGCAGTGAATTCTTGCATTCAGCAATATAAGTTAAGTCTGTATTATATGCAGTTCAGCAAACCTGCACAAAAACTTGGCTCTCAAGCCCCAGTGGATGGATTATCTTCATCTGACAGAGATTTAGATTGTGCAGAGATTTAGACTGAGCCACCACTGCAGCCAACTGATGACAACAGAAGAGCTGACACATGAGTCCAAAAGCTTAAAACCCAATTTGACAGGGCAGACAGAACAAATGGAGTTTTAGGAGGTGATGGTACCTGGACGAGACAAGATCTGCACTGCAGAAATATTTGGAAGCAACTTAGTCTTCCCTTGCCACCCGAAGTAGAACAAGAAGCAGATACAGCACATAAGGTGGTAAATCATCTGCTAGCATTCTTTTGATAAACCATTCTCTGAAACTGAATATCCCCAAAATGGCATTGGTATTGATTGAATTGAATTTCTGTTCTGTAACACATGCTTGCCTAATTTACAGTAGCTTCTCATCAGGACCAGTGGATCAAGCACTGCATAATCAAATAATCTGAAATCACGAGCTGGAAAAGATTAGGAAATAAATCCAAGAACTATTCTGCTAGTTAATGCGGGGAGGTAACAACCAGGGAATGACAGTCATTGAAAGAAACAGTGTCACCTTTCAGTTTCCTTTTTGCTCACATGCTTTGAGTATAAGAGAAAGTTAAAGAGTATCAAGCTTCCCCAAAAGCACAAGGACCAATCTTTACACAGCACAAAAAACACTGCCTTAACCTGGAAAACTGTAGAAAAAGGAAAGTCATAGGAAACTTACTGGGAAATTGGGCTTTGTAATTTTCCAACCAATGCTGAAAGTGTTTTAGATGAACCATAAATAAAAAAGTTCTCTCAAGGCCTTGAATGCTGAGTGATAGAGTAACATCTCTTTAACCAGCTCTCCCACACATAGAAGAGCCACACATTGGCCAACAGGCAACTGTCCCTCAGCACTGTCTCTCCACAAGGCAAATCTCATACAGACAAAATAACAACAGCTGAGATGCTGCCTGTGCTCTGTATTTTTTGACAACATGGCTGAAAGCCAGACAGCACACAGGTGAACAGAAGTAGTGTGCTGTCCTTCAGCAGTTAAAATCCAGGACACAGTTTTATTATTTCATTAGATTTTAAAGTAGGGCATAGCCCCCAGGAAAAACTGCAACAATAAAGTACAAAAAACTCCAAAAAGCAAATGTTACTAGGAAAGCAACTTCCATTCCTATCCAGAAAAATTTTCTATTTATTTTCATTGTCCCATACAGAGCCTGCATAAATCAGCACGACAACCTACAGGAAGAGAAGACACTTCAGCTGGATGAGGAAGTCAAGTTCATTACCACTGAGAAATGGGAATTTTAACGAGGTATTTGAATACAACCACTAAGAGTGAATGAAACCTTAAGGAAGACTCAGGACCAAAGGCTGTTGAAGAACATGAAGACAAAAGACAACTCTTCTTCTATTTGAAATGCCAATACTGATTAACTTCCAGGGACACAGAAATAAACCAAGTGAAGGAAGAGTTTATTAACTACAGACATTAATCTTTGATACGGTTATTTCTGGCTAGCAATTCCAAAGCTTAAAGGAAACACTCGGACTTATTTTACCACTTTGTTTTACAGAAATATAATCCTTATGCTTCCCAGCCTTGCAGTGCTGACCAGTACCTGGAAAGTCCCTTTTGACAACAGCTCCTTCCTTTCTTTCCCATGCTCTTGCAAACGCTTCTGCCGCTGCTGCAGGGAGCTAGACTCGCCTGCCACTAAACCACTGAAGTGGCTCTTCCCATCCTTACAGCTCACTGTTCCTTCTTTTCCTTTGGCACTCTGGAAGACAGAGAAGTGATTGGGCAAAGTTATGCTTCTAGTAGGCCGCTGAACAAAGAGCAAAAGAAGCAGCAAAGCAACCAAGCACCTGCAAGGGCTCCACAAGCTCTTAGAAAACAACAGCAGTTCTTGTGCTGCATTCAGGCCCAGCATACATTTGCAAGGCAAGAAAGGACATTTAATTTTTCAGGAGGAAGTAAAAGCTTGAGCAGTTCCCTGCTGCAAATTAACTCCTTGGAGACTGAGCAACTTTCAGGTGAGAATTACCTGGTGATTTGTTGGTTCTTTCTTCCCCAGCAGCATACTGCCAGTCTGCATTGGAGAAGCCCCAGTTGAATGGGCTGGTCTGGGAGGGCCCTTTTTACTTTGGGAGAGAAAAGAGGACAGAAAGCCCCCCCGGGACTGAAGAGAATGTGCTGTGTTCCTCTGATGGCAGGTCATATCACTAATGGAAAAAACAAAACACCAGCAAATAGAGTATGAAAGTGTAGCGAGGCAACCTGATCAAAGATCACCCAATTAAGTGAAATGGTAGCTGTTTGAACCACTGGAAGACAGACATTCATTTCCAAGCCAGTGCAACACTAAAAGACTATTTGAAAATATCCTGTTAGTGCCTGGAGCACCTCATTATAGCTACTGTAAACAAAAAGCTTTCTTCTCAGAGATGCCACTGAGACAGCAAGCTCAAACTGTTGCTGAATCCCCTGAAGGACCACCTAAAACTCCTTCCACTCCATCTGGTTTGTTTAGAAAGACCCTAAGGGTAAGGCATGGGAATTCAGATTTCAGTAGAACTTTTCAGATGGGCTTCCCAATTCAAAGCATAAAACAGACCTACTTTGAGAAACATTCAGCTCCAATGTTTTACTGAAACATTGATAATCAGCAAGTTATGTTCAACAATTTTACAGCAAAGGCCCTCGATATCTCAGAATCCAGACCCAAAGAAAATAAGAGCTACAGCCCATTTCTATGGCTATAAACACCTCCTTTCTCAGTCCACAATGCCAAGAGCAGCAGCTGCTTCCCAGAACATAACTGTCTGACCTCACTCTGCTACAGCTTCCTCTGAGAGCAGAATGACAGCAAAGGCAAGGGGAATACAATAATCTTCACTGTCTCTATCCACTCTTCAAGGATGAAACCATTCTACTAAAGCTGGGCTTTGGGTTAAATAAGCAACCAGAACTGGCCTCCCAGACTAAGAGATAAGTTGCACATGCAAGAAATGCCACTTCTTAAGCAAGTTTTTCTAATTCAAATGGACAAAAATAAATACAGGAATAAATTACCCCATCCCTCATGTCACACTCCTCCATACATGCAGATAGCATCAGGACTTTCCACGTAAGTTTTTTTGTAACTATCATAAACTAAATTCTGTAGCCTGTCCTGTGCAAAGACTGCAGAGCAGTTATCAAGATAGTTCAATAGACAATTAAGTCTATTTAATCAAATTTTAGATTAAAACATTTTGTGTGTAGTACCTGCTACAACTTCTATCTGTCACTGGCAACAGAATAACTTAATCAATCCTATTCCTGTCCTGTACTGGGGGTAAAACAGAAAAAGTTAAAGAAGCTCTATCACTGTGTATGTTGCCTAATTTCCGGAAATAGGCATAAAATAGATGTAGCCATAAAATGCACTTTTAACTGCAGCAAATTCATGGGGAATTCTGTGCATAGCTGAGCCTCACTGAAGAGAAGCTCCTTTTCCCTTGACTTTGCAAAAGCAAGAAAACATCCCTGTGTAACAAGAATCCCTTTGGGTGATACAGTAACAGTATCTACAAAACAACACAGGGCATTCACCTATGGCACTGCAGGCACTCAAGTAAATTGCAATCAAGAGACAATCCACTTCATTTGAGCAATACTGTAGATGACCAGAATATCTTGGTTCAATGCTGACACCAGAGCAGAATCACTTCTATGTGTGCTTGGGCTCTCACTGGTTTGCAAGAACCTCCCAAATGATGGGAGAGACACCTGTCATGAATTCCATTAAACCTACCTAGGTCACCAAAATTTCTGCCTGGATGTCTTTCTGCATTGAATCCCAGGGCAGGGGACATGGAAATGACCCTCCAGGAAGCTTCCTGACCCAATAAAATTAGCAGAGCCTGTCCCCAGCTCTTCTCTTGCAGGCACTCACAGTTCAGAGTCCCCAAGTCGATCCATGTTGGCCACATATGCAGGCAACTTGTGATGCATAACTGCTTGTTCCACCTCCAGTTCCTCTTTCTTCATGCGGGAGGATTCAGCCTGCAGAGCAAACAGCTACAAAAAGAGCCAAATAAACACAGGGTCACTGAGATTCACCTCCTTCCCACTCACTGAAGTTGTTTACTCCTTTTATTTCAACAGCTCTAGAAGGGCGGGGAAGGCAAAAAGTTGCTCTGACCGGCTGAGCACCACATTAGTCCAATTAGTCAAAATAATCAGGACTTGAAGTACGTGAAACTGGAGTCTACTTAAAACCCTTCACTCCTCTCCTCAGGCTGTGGCTGTGGGGACATTAGTGGTGCTGGGAAACAAGAGCTGGGCAGGGCAGAGCTCACCAGTCTCTCTCGGTGCTGGCAGTTTGAGGCCAGGGCAGTGCAGGAGCCTAGAAGGTAATCTTCTCACAGCCAAGGGTTTGCTGAACTGGCAGGGTGCACCAAGGTCAGTGAAACCAGGTCACCTTGAAATCCAGCTCCATACCCTGTGCAACTCCTTCCCAAGAATGACAGTGAGATTTATCTCCACATTATGGAGAAGGAAAACCATCTCTTTTTCCCTTTAGCAGAGAGAAACCTCACGATGCAGTTTTCTGAACAGACGTGGTTTATGCCTGTGACTCTTACTCACACAAAGAGTTCCTCAGGCTTTTCTGTTTCTGTACATTTGTTTTTCAGATATGTTTCTTTTTAACATAGTATTTAAGGAAAGAAAATAGAAGAAGAAAAATGAGCTTTAGAAATCTGGCTTGCTATTTATGTTATTTGCATTGTTTCAGCAGCATAAAACAGAATCACTACTTCATTTCAGCAAGCATAAAATTCAATATTTATTGACATCCTTTTTTAAAACCTGTATTCTAGAGGTAGCTGGTTCCCCCTCTGACCTGAAGAGTTGACTAAAAGGGAAAGTCTAGTTTTACTTCTGTTGATTTGCCACAAAACTCTTATCCAGACTGCAAATTATATCGGCCAACATGCAAAACACAAATCATAGCTTTAATTTGACTAAAAGTAAAGCATATAAAATGTGAGGAAATAAAAGAGCTCTATTTCAAAACATACCTTATCCTCTGTCCCTATTCAATGACCATCTTTGCAGAACCCTCCTGTCAATATTTGACTGACCTACTAATTCCATACAGTACACAGTGACAAATCTTGGGGTTTTTCCCCAAAAATTTCCCCCTTTTTGAAATCAATTATTCTATTTTACTTCAATTTTTAGGACAGTGTTGAACAGCTATTAAAACAGTACAAACAGGAAACACAACATACAACGTTTTGTAATACAAGAGGTAAAGCACAAACTTTACTGAAGTATTTATACAGAAAGAGCTTTTCTTGGTATGCTTGAGGAAGTGAAATTAAAGTTCTGCTTACATGGATAAGCCTTCCTACTTATATGTGATCATCCACATGTGATCTATAGAAAGTTCTTAAACTGCAGATTTCACAAATTTCTCTAACGGAAGTTATACTTGGAAATGACTGATTCGTGTTATATCCTTTCCCCAAGTATCTGCTAATGATACTGTCAAACAAGACAGGGAGCTGGGCAACATTTTGTCCGAACCAATAGACCCTTCTTATTGTTTACTGTAAGATCTGGAGTTGGGAAACAGGCACATTTCCATTAGCTGGTCTAAACTGCTTTAAGTGCACATCAAACATGGTGAAGGGGCCATTTCAGATGTAACAGTTTCTGTCTCTTTGCCAGAATTTACTGCCTGTTTCTATTGCTCTATCAGCTAAAATCTGCAAATGACTGAACACTATTCACAAAATCAGGCATACATCCCTTCTAATCCATTCTATTACTCTAAAACATACACCCTTAACCTCCACCAGTTTCACTTTGTTTTGACTTTGCAGTGTAACAGAAAAGGAGTTTGTATAGTTGTATAGTATTCAGTCACCTGTTGGACAGCACAGGGAGGGCAGACAATCACCTCCAGCAGAGAGACACACATTTCACAATATGATCACAACCCTAAGTTTGCTGGAGACAATTGAAAGATAAATCAAAATAAAACAAAAGACTTAAAGGATCTGTCTTAGAATAACTGCACTAAACAGAACAGTTACAATGTTCTCGAATGGATGGAATCAATTTCACAAAACTCACATCACACAGTCAGCAGCTAAAGAGTGATCTCAGTTCTGACCTTATGCCGCAGCGATTCATTTTCTTCTTGTATGAGATTGCTCCTGAGACATTCAGCTTCAAAGTTCAGGATGACTGGAACTGGTAAGCAATGCTAAAGAAAATCGAGGTAATAACTTGTGCGCACCTGGCTTAATTCTAACAGCCAGAACTCCATACCAGCCATTTGTCAGGAAAAACAAAGCGGCCCAGTCCACACAATTAGCAAAAAGTACGTGCATAACCAGAAGATTAGCAACAGCTTAATTACTTTAGTCAACTTTTTACTGTGCTGTTGCACTAACTATTTCATGTGGACTTTGTAAGGATTTTTAGATTATTTGTTTTTAGAGTCAGAAGTGGAGGGCAAGACAGGTTCTGTTACTGTTTTACACTGTACACTGAAGAAACAGTTCAAGATGAGCTTATTCCAGCTACAGCATAAGCCTGCCCATCACCAAACAACTAAGACAGAAAGAACTCTGTAGCGTGGGGCAAAAAACTTATTTCTGCCAACAACCAACTGCTCTATTATAATGAGCTGTCACTAGGCAATGTTGTGAACATAATGTACCCAAAGAAGGATCTAACAGAAGATGCCAGTACAGTTATGGATTATGACCCGAGGTTGTTTGCCTGTTTTGTCCTATGCCAAGCAAAGAGTAAAACCATTTCAGAACAAGATGTGCACGAGATTTCTAGTCACTAGTATCAGAATGATTCAGCATCAGCAACAATCACAATTGTTTTGCCCAGGGAATACAACATATAATCAGATAATTGAGCAGTAACTATTCCAACATCCTCTGGTAAACACCAACTTTCTATTAAGTCTTGGCTGGAAAAAAATCACCCGAAAGCAGAAGTTCCATAGTACTATATCCTTGGCATGCCTGTTGAAAATATAACATGAGAGCAAGGGAGATTTAACCATTAGTTGCAAAAAAGGATATGCATGCACTGAAATAAGACGCTCAGGAAGTTGTGCAGAGACACTATGAACGTATCTGCCCATTGGCGTGAGAAATAGGTGGCAAAGGTGGGGTTGGAGTCTGGAGCAGGGAGGAAGGGCAGGACAAACCAATCCTTCCACTCCACCTGGTTCTGGAGTTCGGAGGCCTGCTTGAGGAAAAACTCTTGTGCCTTGTCATTGCGGCCATTCTGAAACACAGCAAGAAGAACAGGGGTCACACTTGGCTAATGCCACCAGATTAGGTCTAGAAACATTTGCTTTTTGTTATGAACACAATAAGAACGGTTTTCACCACCCTGACACAACAAGTGGTTAGTTACAGATTCACCAGGAAACAAAATAATCCCAAATACACTAGGAGAAGCTCACAAATGCATTTAACCTCCTTTCTAGTCCCCACAACCCTGTTTAAAGGCTGAGACCAACAGAACCAAACACACTGATTTCCAGTTATACCAGTGCAAAGTGCACTGACATGAGTGTTCACACACAGGACCACAGTACAATTCAAATTACTCAAGTCTACAGCCGATGCAGCTCGAGAAGGTTTCCATCTGACACATTATTCAGACAGGACTGTCACACCTCAGGGTAAGCACATAGCAAAACAAACCATAGAAAAACCACACTTCTGGAAAGATGGATTAGATCTTCAGTCAGGGAATGGAACCAAGAAGAATCAAGGGGAGAATACATACTCCATTGACTTGGGTTTGAACAGAAAAAAATCTCAGTTCCATTTTAAGCTCATTATTTTCTGTTCACAAAAAACAAAAAGACATTCATTTTCTCTTCCACATTTCCTTGTTCCGGTTTGAACTTTGTGTTCTCTGCCAGTATCTAAGTTAACTGAGCAGGACTGAGCTAGCAGTACTGTTATCTTTTCCGAGGGAAACCTGTCTATGTGAATATCTTGCACCCAGCAAACCATGTTTCCCTATCCTGCACACAAGCTTGTCATGTGAGTCTGCATCAAACTCCATACTACACTCCTGATCGTGACACATTAATTGCTTGTTCCTAATCCAGCAGGCCTGGCAGAGGCTGACAAGGGCTGTTCACTGCTTTGGTTTCAGAGACCAGGATCTTTATAGAGTAGAAGCCTAAAAATCAAACACTACCTGAATAGCATGGACAAGGTAATATCGGAATAAGCTGGTTTTGAGCTTGTTCACCGTTGGCCGATACACGTCTTCCAAACGGCTGAAAAGGCGTCGGTCCAGATAACTCCAGTAATCCCGCAGGGCAGCCAGATCGTAGCTCTGAACAAACTGCTGCAGCTGGTCCACTATCTTATCCACCTAAAGAGGGCAAAACAGGAAAGACTTCAGTCATGTGAGGGCTCTTGAGGCACAAGGTTTTCTGTAACTTAGTGCTGAGAAGCTTTAAGTAAATTTTACTGTAAGTAGTACAGTACAATCCTTATGCATTAGCTATTTTCTAATCCTGGAAACACTCTGCATTTTGTATTAGCATTCTTCCACCCTGCAGCACTTTGCAAATGAAGGAAAAAGAAATATGACAGAGCACAGCCAAACAGATTTTGACAGAAATACAACGTTTTGTTGAACCCAACTGACGGGGTTTTTACAAAGTAAACAAAACCTTCTACCTCTTTTAAAAGTCAGTTGATAATAAAAAAAAAATTATATGATTAAATGTTGAAAATTCAAGTGCCGCACCTGAAAAAAAAGATATTATTTTTAGACTAAAAGGAAAAATACCTGCATTTAGCAAACAGAAAGAGGAAGTCAGTTCTGCTCTATTACAATCTTTGAAGTACCTGTAGCTTTAGTATCATCACCTACTAACACGGCAGGCATACAATTTTGCAGAAGGATTTTTTTTAATCATTATGTCTCTTTGGAAAACATTTATGCAATATGAATAAGGTAGAATGATGGTGTGGGAATATATTTTTTGTTCAGTGGTTTTCTCATGGCCAAGAAAGGCATCAGAAAAAGCAAAAGCTGCATCCTGTATAAAATTAAAGTTGTTTAATATGTGGTTTACTCTCCCCTCATCAGTTAGTATCTTAGGACATAGCCAACTTTTATCTCTGTGGTTTCTTACTGATAGAGAAAACTGAAGTTTGTGACCCTAGCAGACCCTTCTTGGACAACAATTCCTATTAAGTCAGCCGTTTGCCAATCTCTAAACATTAGCAAAGTAATTGTATTTTAAAAAATGAAAGCAACATGCTTCATTAATGAAAAAGTAGTGCTTATATTGCCGGTCAAAGAAAAATCTGACTGTTCAAAGCACTACATTCGGTGCCCAAAACTTGCTACAGGAATACGAAGCTCACACAAAGGACTGAAACTGTATTTTTGAGACTGGCAAATTCTGCGCCAATTTCCACACGTTAGTCAAGGCAGCTGGTACTCAAGACATACAAACTAAAGAGCGGAGCTCTAAAGCCGCTGGATAAAAATCTCATGACCGAGAAAAGATGCGGACAAAGGAATGTCTTCCTTCCCTCTCGGTCCGCGGGTCTCCTCGTTCTTCTCGTCTCGAAGCCGAGGATCCCCTGGCGGGTCACAGTCGGACGCAGGGTCCGCAGACGGCCGGGCTGGCCAGCGGTGCGGGCCGGCTGCCGGGAACTGCAGCCCCCGGCTCGGGAAGCAAGCGAGGGGATGGCACCCTCTGTCCTGCGCTGACGGCGTTCCGGAGCCGAGCGGGAGCGGAGCCTTCAACCGGCTACAGCCCCCCGCCAGAGGTGGCGCGTCCCTAAGCGGCGGCAGGGCGGGCCGGGCGGCTCCAGGATGCGGGGTCCCGCCGGTGCGGCCGGCCGGGCCCCGGCGCCCAGCCCAGCACAGACCAGCCCGGCCCACCGTGGCTCGGAGGTCTCCCCCGTCCGCCAGGCCCGTTCTCCTCGCCCAGCCCCCGGAGCGCGGAGAGGCGCCCGCGGCCCGCCCGGGGAGCGCGTCCTCCCCGGGGGGCACCCGCGCCCAGAGCCCCGCCGGGAACGGGGACACGGTGGCCGCTCACCCGAAAACCCTTCTCCCGGTCCGCCTTGATTTCAGCGTCCAGCTGCTTCAGGGCGGCGGTGAAGCCTCGGAAGAGCAGATACTCCCGCACCAGCTCGTCCGTGCGTTCCGCTGCCGCCGCCATGGGGGCCCCGCGGCACCGCCGGCTCCGCCCGCCCACGGGCGGGGAGGGGATGGCCCGGCCCGACCCAGCACCAGGGAGACTACAACTCCCAGCGTGCCTTGCCTGCTCGCCTCTTCCCTGCCCCACTCCCCACCCCGCTGGCGCGTCCAGCCCGCGTTTTTCCCGCCTTCTGATTGGCCACCGCCGGGCCCCGGCTGCTTGCCGATTGGCTGTCCGCCACGTGCGGCTCGTGTTGCTCGGCGCGGGCGGCAGAGGCGCGGCGGCGGCGGGGCGGGGTCCGGGCGGCGCGAAGTGATTGATGGAGTGATTGATGGATGGATTGATGGTCAGAGCGAGCGACTGAGCGATCCCACAGGATCCTGGCGCGGCCCCTCACGGGTTTCCCCCGGCCGGCCTGTCCCTCCCGGCCTCAGAAGGAGCAGCAGGGGCGGGTCTCTTACCTCTAGGCTGTGCTTGCGGTCGGTAGCGAGGCAGGGGGCGTTAATCCAGTGGAAGGCCGGGAAGGGCTTTCCAGGAGGGCGCCTCAGGCTGTGTCAGGCCCGCGAGGCAGCTGCAGCAGGCCCGGCTGGGCCTGGATCTGGCCCTCTCGTGCAAGAGTATGTCTGGTATCGTTGCCCACACCAATGTATCACAGTTTATTGGGAAGAAAAAGTCAGTGTTGTAAAGAAGCCTGTCATTTAGCAACATCGGTGCGAGCTGATGAGTCTCAGTGCTTTGCGAAGCCAAGCCCTGGATATTCCATGGAAATGAAACATAAATCATTGTAGGGAGGGGTGCAGGAGATGGGAGGCTGGCTTCAGCTGGGTTGCTGTTAATTGTTGGTGGTGAATTAGATTTTAGTAATTAATTAACAGGCAGGTATCTCTCAGGCAAAGAGAATATTTCAAATTCCATGATTTTCTACAGAAAGATGAGCTCTTGTCAGTCAGCCAGATTTTTCCTTTTTGTCTATCCACTATGCAGGCTGTAAGATTTCTTTCTCTTCACTTAAATATTTATTCAGCATAAATAAATGTTGCATTGCAGCTTTCGACAGGCACAGCTGGAGACTGTAGGAAGACACATACCAAAGTGAGTCTCAATCCCCTGAGACACCTGCAAGAGGTAGAACACTGCATGGCAAAGCAGTACTTGCCACAGGCACACCACTGGGTTCCTCTGGCAAGACTCTTCAGCAGCTTGCGGGGAAGAGTTTTATCCCAGTCAGACAACTGTGCCTCAAAGGTGCGCAACAGTGGCTGTTTCTCTATGCATCATGATAATGCATGAGTATGTTCAAATTTAACCAGGTTTAGGTTCAGTCTATGAGGATGATCACTGTGTCTTTATGGGTGCCTGTATGTGTGTAATTTCACTGTATGCACCTTTTCTGGACCTCTTTAAAGCTGCCAGCTCAGCCTAAGCGAGTTGTCCAGTTTGTAGTTGCTGGGTCATGGGTTTATCATGTGCCTTATCTGTACTTTTCTTACAGGCTTTTTGCAGCGTTTTTACGGCTTTGCATTTTCTTTTATAGTATTTTGGAAACAAACCAAGGGATCCCATGATGAAGCTGATGTCAAAGCATTTTGTTCTGAAATCAGAACAGTGAGTTTAGGGATAGAAGGAGTTAGAGGGAAAGGAGTAATTCATTCAGCTTTATGAGGTGCAGTTTATCTTCAAGACACTGGAAAAATAAGTTCAGGAATAAAAACAAGCACCAGAACTTTTCCTTGATCTCTACTAAAGGAGGAAACTATTTAAACAAAATTGTTTATCAAGATGAAATTTACTAAAAATACTACTGAAAAGACTGAAATTACCATGCTCGAGGCAGAGAAGTAAAAATCAGGAGTATTTTCTCAAATCTGCTACTGATTTGTTACCTTCAGTTTTCCAGTTTGTAAAGTAGAGGGCGTAATGATTGTTTAGGACAGGACCTGTCCCCTGAATATGCTAAATACCACTCAGGCAGGCTTGTGCCTGCTGAGTCCTTTTGCCCTCTTGTAGGTTGAGTTAAGAGTTCAGTTTGCCATGTTCTGAGCAAGATGCATGTTAACGTGAAGTCAGTGATCTCAGAAGCCAAGACTAAACAACTACTTCCTTTGCCTGGTCTAAGGGAACTCTGTTCACATTCCAGTTCTTGAAATGGCTTTTTCATAGTGTCTTGTGCCCCTTGTGTGACTCTTGGGAGCCAAGGAAGTTTGATATCTTAAAAAGCCTTAATATAGAAGGTTACTTATAATCCTAGTGCTTGGTGCCTGGCTAAAATATCCAGCATGAAACCTCTGCAAGGTAGTTATGGATGGTCTCACCACACACAAAAATCTTGAAATATTTTGGAGATGTGTATGTTTAAATGCACTGGCCACATATTTTCAGTTGTGCTTGGTATAGATGATGAAGGAATGATGCACAGCACTGAAGTTACTGATTAACTCCTGTTAATCCAGACTTTTGCTAGGAAAAGCCTTCGCTGTGTTTTACACTGCTGTAATCCAGGTTACAGCAATGTAGAACATGGCAAAGGCTTCTCCTAGCAGAAGTCTCATGGGAAATCATTAGTAAAATCTTATGCCTTAAGTTGGTAGGCATCCAACAAGACTTCACAGCATGGTACTTCTGGACATGCTCCAAGAAGAGAACGATCCAAACAAGACCAATTGGTGATGAAAAAAGATCAGAGTTAAGTAGCAAATGTCTGTGTGACTGGGTGTTATGTGTATGTATTGCATAATATATACCTAAATATTTATATTCTATATTGAAGTTTACTCTCTTATTAATTCTTTCCCCTTTTCATATGTATAAGGGTAGCTAGTGAAACAACATAGTTGTTTTCACAGAGACACAGAAATTACTGAAGGTAAACATGAAAAGCAAAGCAACGAAGACATGTTGAAACACGAATCTAGTTAGAGCAGAGAACAATCAGTTCTGTTTTCTTCTTATGTTTAGTATCAGGTTTTGCGTAAGGCTAAGACATCTATCGAGAAGCTGGAGCAAACCTTGTGTTCTTTGCTGAAGATGAAAGGTAACTGTATGCAAGTATTTGCTTGGACAAAGAGCCTGGACTTGGTTTTTATGTATTTGTTAAATAGAGGTACACAGTTGAGCCTATTAAAGCATTGTGGCTTTAGTTGTAGCAATAAGTAAGGGATAGTGAGAAGTCTGTCAATCCACTGAGCACCTCTGACTCAGTCTTTCCTACCCCCTCCCCAGCCTAGGTGAAGAAAGGAAACGAGCAATTCCTGCTATCCCATGGCAGCAGGCCATTCAGGCTGAGTACCCTCGGCAGCTTCACCCCAGCAGGTGTGGGGCTGGCATGGGTCCCCAGGCTGGATCCTTAGGCTCCCACTCGGAGCCTGCAGGAGCTGTGTGCTCCTCCTGGCCACAGCAGCGTGGCAGGGTGCGAGTCACAGCTGCCACCAGCACCCAGCCCTGGCACAGCTTAGACTGCTCAACAGCACCCTGTGGTGTGAGGTGAAAGGATTTCCTAGGATAGGAAATGAAAGCCTCTGGTTAAGAGTGTACTCTGATATAAATGGTTAAGAGAGACGCTGCTTGGGGGGGGCCTTCCTCACGCCCTGCACTGTCACAGCCTATGACAGACACCTGGGTCACATTGGTCAGCAGATACTGTCTGCACTTGTGGCTGCTCCTGCTGCAGGGCCTCATGCCCCCAGCCACGAGCCTTCTGTTTAGTGCTGCTGGCCACTGCCTCTGCTGGCAGCAGGCAGGACTAGAGGCTGATGGGATAGAGGCTTTGGGCATAGATTTTTGTCCCTTCGAGTGTCCAAATTCCTGTCAGATAGAAAAAAAATTGTTATTCATGTGACTTGCACCTCCAATAATTTGTATCAATTAGAAGTCTCAGTGCTTAAAATGAACAACCTCATCTGAACTCACATCCTTGGATAACCCATAAAAGTGAGTCACAGGTACAAAGAATAGTTTGACAGAGCAAAACTGAAAGAATAGCAAGCAATGAGGCTGGTTGAGAGGAGTCTGAGGCATGCTTCCCCTTGTATGTACTTGCATATATGTAAAATCCATACTGCTTGTGAATCACAGGTTGGATATCAGGGTTTTTCACATGCAATTTGTTCATTATAAGGTAATAAAAAAATACTGTATTGACTAGTGCCTGCCCAGAGTTTGATTTGCAGGTTGTTTTCACCATCAGTTCTATAAAATCAATATTAGGAAGAAGGCATTGATTCTGAGTTCCTCAGTGTTCATAAACTCCCAGTAGTGCTAGTTATGTTGTAGGAGAGACAGATGTTTCTTCTTTCATGTAATTTTTGCCTAATGAAAATCTCTGGCTTGTGAAGAACCAGTTGATGACAGTATTCTGCTTGGCTGGGGCTGAGGGTGAGAGAGAAGCCAAAAGTGCCATTGATGTGACAGTAACTTTTCTGCTGCCAACAGCGAGCTGCAGCCTGGAGGATGGGAGCCCATCCAGCTTGGAGGAAGTCAGGGAGGAATATGTCAGGAGGCAATTCGGCAGTCACAGGTAAGGGCTTATACCAGTCAAAAAAATATTATAATATTTTGCACTTGCTTCCATCCCAGCATCTCTGAAACTCTTTGTCATTGCTACTGTATTTCCAAGCAGAGGTTTTTCATCATGAGGAATGGACAAAGAGGTTTCACCTGGACCGCTCTAATCCCATGGAGTGCACAAACATTCTAAGCATATTGTTGGTCTCATTTCCAGTCAGTGCTTGTTTTTTTTTTCTCCCTTTTCTATGTAGCTGATCTCTGGCAATGATTTCTCATTGCCTGAAAAGCAAAAGAAGGAGGAAAAAGCTGGCTTGGCAAGAATGGCCCTAGCTTCTGGAGTTACCATGACAAGGGTGTTATTAAACCAGTTGAGAAGTTATTCATGTGGCTTTTTTCCCTTGTGTTCTTTCCAGCACTGCATCAGCCTCAGAAGATATGAGTGAAAGTGACTCTGCCATCTGGTATTTGCTTCAAGAATCTGAAAAACAAACACTGGAAGAGTATGGGAAGCCAGAATTGATTCAGTTTTCAGACACTTTATCCCCAGATCTAGTGGAATTTGAACGGTAGGTGCACCCCATGTTGCCTTCAGGTTTTTAACTTGTTTGCATTTTCATTATGCATCCAGGCACCGCCCTTCATTCAGCCCTGCCGGAGCCTCACGGAAGCCTTGTGCCAGCAGCTTTGGCCCTGCTGGTGATGAAGCTGTTCATTTCCCAAGTCCCTGCAACTTGCACATGAATGGACTCTTAGAGCTGTAGCAGTCCCCAGTTTTTCAGGACTTGGTAAATCCCTGAGGATTTTTCACCCTTTAAGAAAAAGAAGAAAATTTATTTCAAGTGTGTCCCTGTGTTGCCACACTTTACCACTGCATCCCTCCCATGGGGCTAGATTTTAGGAAGGTAAGAATTGCTGCACCAGGTGCATTTGCCAAGAGTCTAGCTGTATATGCTCCAGGGAGATGGAGGAACCAGAGATAGGCACATTCTTTTCATCACAGTGATGCTCATCCTTCCTCTAACGGCACTGTTATGTTGCCCCTTCCAGAAACAGACCCTTAGCTCCTGGCAGCTTAGAGTACTTTTTTTGGAATCAGAGCAGGGTAAGGCTGGATTCAACTAAGGAAGATCTTGTAGTTCTCAGCCTCTGGGCTGCAGAATAGTGGTTGTCTGGAAGATACCAGAAGGCATTCTGCAACAATGCAAAATTGTCTGCAACATTGGGGAGGGGGGCAACCTAAACAACTTGTGTTGTTGCACTTAGAGCTAGTGGATGTGAGTCTATAAACCCTTTAAGCTCTTAAATGGCTAATGCAGGACCTAAGAGTCAAAGGCCACTGTTCTGATGTCAGTTGTCCATATATATTATTTGGAAGTCATAATGGTAAAATTACTGGTTTTTTCCCAAAGTTACTGATGTCTTAAAGCTGAGTATTGTACTCCATGTTCTTCCCCTTCCTGTCAGACAACACTAGGAGGTACTTAGAGGTTTTATCCTACATTTTCAATAGGATAAACAATTATTTGATTGCCAAGATATGAGAAATAAATGCATGTGTAATCTACCCTGTACCATCAAGCAGTCAATTTCATCCTAACCCTCCCACAGTTAACAACATGCTGTGCAGCAGAAGCCAGAGCTGCAGCTGGCATCCTCTTCCATGGCATCACCAGCGTAACCAGAAACTTCTGCAGTTCCTTCTTCTCTTTTGCTTTGAACTGCTGTGTATTTCTAAAAACCCCTTCGACCAGCGGGTTTTTCCTCAAAAGGAGACTGCAGCTGGACCAGCAGATGGCACCAGCTTTCCACTGCTGCTCCTGCTCTTACTTCTGTTAGAACTGGAGGTGGCTGCGGTTAAGGTATCGTTTAGAAGACCTTGAAATGAGCTGAATCAAGATTTTCAGGATTAGAAAAATCTGTTTCATCAAAGACTGCACTTCAGAGCCATAAACACCTGACTTTCATGTTCTTTACTGACGAGGTAGACCAGGGCCTGTACTGTGTAGACTCTGGCACTTATCCTGTAGTCCCTAGGGCAGATTGCCTTTGCTTCATAGCCAATTCTTGTCCAAAAATGACCTTTTATAACAGGCATCAAACGACAAGGACTCTTGAGCAAAGAAAGCAACAGCCTTTTGGTTATCATTTAATCACCTTATTTGGGAAGCATCAGAGAAATGCTTTGAGCTTCAACTGAACGGGTTTTTTGTGCATGTTCAGCAGCAGGAGATACATTGGTAGGACTTCACAGTACTCTGTCCAGTGCAAAATGTGCTTGTCTCCTTCCAGCTGGGAAGGAAATAGTTGAGTCGTGCTTCAAGCTTAATTTCTTTAGCAGAGCAGTCTAATGGTGGTTCATTTTCTTCTGCTTGAGAAATTCCTGGTCCTTTGTTTGGAGTTGGATATCCAGAAGCCTTAGTGAGTGCAATACTTTACATGAGAAAGCTTATTCTCTTATGGTATTTTGTCTCCAGCAGCAGTGGAAAATACCCAGAATGTGGAAACTGGGGTTTAAACAGGTTTATGCTTGCCTACAAAATTATATTTTCAATATTGGTCTGCTGGAACAAATACATACAAATAAAAAAGAAAAGAATGACCTCTTTTGAGTTACTTTCTCATACAATACTGTTCAGTTAATCAGGAAATTTGCTCATTTGGGACATCTTCCAAGGAATCATTTTGAGCCCAAACATAGTAACAATGACTGCTGTTTATAGAACTCTTGGTTTGTACTCCTTTGGTCTTTTTATTTTCATCTGAGACTCCCTAAGCATTTAATTAATGTAAAATAACCTTCAGTTTCTGAAGTAGACATTATTATCCTTGGTTCACTGTTCCATGCAGTGCTAACAGAAGAAGCAGGTTTGTTTTGACATTTAGACACTGGGTTGAAATTATGACCCTTATGTTCCACCATCAGTTTCACTACAGACTGCATAGAAGTCAGTCTTAGGGATGTGTTTCCTTAGTTGTAAATGGGAGGAGATGGACCTCCCATGCTTAAGTCAGAGCATCCAGACCTGGGTAGTCTTTCCGTCTGCAGGTACAGTACCTAATGCATCAGGATATGACCTCAGCCAGAGCTTTAAAGTGTAATGCGATCCCAGTAAATGTATAAAAAGTGACTTGCAGTGCAAAAGGTTTGGGATACAAAGGCAAGTAACTGAAAATTTATTAAATTCCAGAATGAGGTTTGCCTGTGCCACTCATACAACCTGCAGTGCCTGGAGCTTCTGTTGTGAGGCAGTTCTGCTGAGGCTGATGCCTACTGTTTGCAGGGGAAATCGTCAGTGTTGGGCATCATGCAGTAATTGTGTGAAGTCTTGGAGGCAGAGTCAGTGAAGCAGTTATGGATCAGAGCTGCTCCCCAGTGTCCTGCTGATTTTCAGTAGATGGCTGCCTTATAGCCTGCTCTTAAGAGATACTCCCTTTCCTTTCCTTCCAGATACCTGTATTTTTATAAGCACACAGTGGACCTGCTGATAGAGCATGGGATTGTTTGCACTGGAGAGGTGCCTCTTCCTGAGGTCTCCACAGCTATTTCCCATCTCTGGCAAGAGCTTTCTGAAGAGAGCAGGGACAGCATCTTGCAGTACTGTAGCCAGAGAGATTTCCTCATGGATCCCAAGGCTGCTTGCCCAGAGCCTGCTTGCACTGAAGGTAGTGTGAGGGACAGCGGAGGTAACAGTGAGGAAGCCAGTGGTTCCTCAGTCTCCACACCAGAGGAAGTAAGTGCTCAGCAACATTCATAGTCTGCCTCTGAAACTCCAAGCCTTCAGATGCTAATTGGCTTTGTAGCTTTTAATTGCAGACATACACTAGTTGTAACTAAGATTTCTCAAGATCACTTGAATGCATAAGTAGAGACAATAAACAATCTTCGAGTAAATGTCTGCACCAAATTTTCTCTTGGTAAGATACCTAGTGAGCTACAGTAGTGCAGTGGTAGTAATCCTGCTAGTCTCCATTGACTGTGGAGTTTCTGTGCTAAGTAACAGTTAAATTTGCTCCTACCTTGCTCCAGGGATAGGGACCAAGAACAAGAATTATACAGTTACTGTGCTCTGCTGACCTTCCAAAGAGCACAGATGATCTAAATCCAGAAGGGATACTTAGTTTGCCAAAGCCTGCTGTGTTTTGGGTTGGGTGTTTTTTTTTTCTTGAAAGCACTTGGTAGCAAAGAGAATGTAATTTTAGACTAGTCCCAGTGGTACACTGGTCCCAGGGCCAATGACTGCCTGTACCATGCACCTCTGCAGAGCCAAGAAGTCAGTGACCGAGTAGACCAGAGCATTTATTAATAAAAGATTGATTAAATAACAGCCAGTTCTATAAATGGTTCCTGGAGCACTGATTGCTGAAGTAACTAGCTGCTCAAAGTATGGTATGTGTAATTTCATTAGCTGCAAGGAAGGGACAGATGTTTACCTTTAGCATATAAGTAAATTGCATTGGCAAGTTCTTTTTGAGTCACAAGACACAACTCATATTGCTTGTTGCCTTAGGAGATGTCGTGGGAATGTTCCCTGTACAGTATTTCTGGCACAGAAAGTGTGTGAACTGCATTATGGCAGTGAACTAATGAGTTTAGTGGTCTGGCACAAGGAGCATCCAAACTCCTTTGTAAACTGGAGTCAGTTTTGGAGAGACTGGCTGGTACAGCTGAGATCTCCAGCCATAGACAGCAGTCCACAGTCAAGTCTCTACAGCACCGATACAATTCATGGTTTTTACTGATTTTCTGGGAGATGTAATGTGAAGTCTAATTCCTAGAGGCTGAAGCACAAGCTTAAGGGAGTGGACTGACCCTGTGTTCCTAGCCAGGAAATGCAGTTATTCCACATTATTCCTGTCTCCACAAAACCTCTTGGTTTACTTTAGCTGTAACCATACCTGTTAAACATAAAGAAAGATTGTCATGTTTTCAAAGACTTCATTATTAAAAATAATGCCCTAAGTAAAAGTTTTAGGTGGCTGGATATGCTAACATCTGAAGTGATTTCTCTGATAGGTGATGTTTGAAGATGCATTTGATGTTGCTGCTGGTTTCCTTGACAGAAGTAAGGCTCAGGGAACGTCCAGCCAGAGGTAAATTACAAACTCCCCCTTTTTGGTAACACAGTACGTTAATAGCCCACTGTCAGTGCTCCACAGCAAGTGCTCTATGGAGTAAGACAACGGCTCCCTTTTTTAATAAATGGTTAGAGTAGCAGCTTCCAGCAACTGTGTTCACAATAATACTTCCTTTTAAAGGGAAAAAGTGAAATGACTAATGGTCATTTACAGCAGAATCAGTAGAATCACTTGTTAAGAGCAGCTCATTACTTCAGGATAACTGGGGTCCTTCTAATTTTCTTTGCCACTCTACACAGCTTTCTGTCTTTTCAATTTACAATACTCATAATGCTTTCTTTTTCTCTCTGTCACTTACCAGGCCTGTGAGGACCAAGTGACATTCCCTAAACTGTACTCTCATTTAATGAGACAAAAATTATAATTTTTCAACATTTTCTCCCTTGTCTTACCCTAATTCAGTCACACGGAGGTGACCAGGTTAAAGTGTGGTTGACCTGAACAGTAACACCAAAGAAATACAAGAACTTTTAAATAATTACACCTCTTTCCTCTTCAGTTCAGATGAGTTACCTAGAAGAGAACATGTCAGGTACAAAGCTGGCACTACCTTTGATTTTTCCCAGTAGACCAAAGAAAGAAAAGTGTTGTTTTCCTCAAGAGGAAAATCACATTATGATTCACCTTTTATGTATTCATTCTACTTAGTCTTTGTTAGGATTGTTTCTCTTTGCAAACAGTGTTTTTAATCCGTGGGTTTTTAATCCCATTTTCTACTTATTTTTCAACATTTAGAGTGATCTTTAATGTAAATCTCTTCCTTTCACCACCATTCCAGGTTGTACTTCCCGAAGAGAATAAATTAAAATAAGGTTGTTTTGGCTGATGATCAGGTAGACTTGAATGGATGAAAAAGCTTAACAAATATTTATTTATTAAATAACATTTATTAGGTCACAATTTCCATTTGTTTATAAAATAAGATTAAGTATTCCTTAATACTGCAAAGTATTACTATAATCTTTAAAGTCTGTTTTAGGTCTCAAATCAGTTTGGTATTTCAATAGTCAACACTTATTGTTTTCTGTTTCTTGCCTGTTGTTCTGCCCCTTGTAATTCTGGACAGAGGTGTGATGGCAGGAAGAACACAGAGGTGAGGTCCAGAATGAAAAGCTTAGCTTTGTGCCACAGTTACCTGAGAACAAACCTGCCAGTTATAGCTAACATGTCATTTCATGACCACAGGTTACTGCATTCACTCAAAAACTTTACAAAAGAAGTCAAAGCTATTCCTCTGAACTACCCTACCAAATACACTCCCAAATAACCATTATTGCTGTCTGTTTTAGTGGATATTTACTTTTCTCCAAAACAGTGTTACTGTGCTGTAGTGTACCAGCAGATCTCCTTATTGTGACACCAGTTTCTTGTATTTCTGTTCTGTTCTTACATATCTGCCTTGCTCTTGGCAAACAGTATCTCATCAATACATCCATCACAGCTCCTCCCTGTCTTGCTTGGCTATTGTCTTTAATATCAGACCATCTTGAAAACCATTTGAATTATTTTTTTTAAATTTATAAGTAAAATATGGAGGAGAGAAAGCAAAAAGAACAGAATAGAGAATAAATACAGTATCTGATTCCATTTTCAGTTCAGCATTTGCAAGCTGTACTTCTGAAAATCCAGAGGATCACCAGAGACTCTATCTGCAGGTCACTGACTTCCTGAAACACCTCTTCTTCACTAATACACAGTTTTGCCAGGTAAGCCTTGCCAAAGGATTCCTTATGGAAGGACCAATGTATTTCAGAGCAATATATTTCAGGAGCAGTGTCAGAAAGGGATTTTTGTATTCAATGCTTCTGGTCATATTGTCCAGAATGATTACAAATAAGAACTTGGGGTTTATTATTTTAGATGTGTCATTCCAAAAGGCCAGTAGGACCACCTTTGTAAGAGCTTAAGTGTGAGTGAACACTGATTTGAGTATTATTCAAAATGGCAAATGACATGAGGAATTGTAAAATATTTTTTTTTATTTGTTTGCATGAAAGTTCTTTGTGGAAAAGCTTGAGTGATCTCTTCTGAGCAGGTAAAGCTCACTTTGCAGCTCTCCACCAACCCCCAGCTGCTTCATTCCGAGCTCATTAGAACCACCTTCTGCTCATCTGGGTGCCAGGTTCCCTGCCCCGAGCCCTCCATTGGCAGGCCCTAGAAGAAGAATATTCGTGGTCTTGAAAGAGCTGACGAAAAGTTCCTGAGCTTCCCCTTAACTTCAGCCTACTGTTGCAGGTTTTCTGAGCCAGAAGTCTTTGTGCTTGCATTGTTCTTCCTCCTCTCCTTGTCTCCCTGCCATGGAGGTGGCTCAGAGCTTGCACGTGGGTGAGGAACGGAAAGGGAGATACCCCTCAGGCAGAGCACGCTTGTTTTGGTTCAGAGTCAGTGCTCCTTTGAGCACAAGATATGGCATTTTCTGGTTTAAAATTTCTTTTGTGAGTGTCATGCCTGGCATGGTCTCATCTTGTCCTTCTGCTTGGAGCTGCATGCTGTTATGTGTGAGCCCAAGTCCATCTCAGAGCTCCCAGATGAGGTGGTATGGGAAGAGGTAGTGTCTCTTTCAAGGTTTAAAGAGGCATATTTAAAATAAGACTAGGAGAATGGGAGTGATGGGAAGACAAGAAGCAAAAGAGCCCAGAGTACTGAAAATTGGCAGTTGACTGTACTGGATGGATCCAAAGGAAATAAAAAGCTGCACAGGCTTCTTTTACACAGGAACTTTTAGTTATCTGTGATAAGACAATAAAAAGGGAGTTTGAGCAGAAATCATTCCAGGCTATATAATATGAAGGTCACAATCTGTTTAGATTTAGAGTGCAGAACAGCACATCTAGACAGTGCTGCCAAGAAGCAAAAAAGTAGAAAAAAGAAAATATGACTGACAAGATATTTTTTGTTTTGAGAGCAGAAATTCGGATCCATCTCAAAGCAAACAGATTGAGACAGTTATGAAAGTGGTTGCAGAGCAGGGATAGAAGATGTTCCAGCTAGCTTGAAACACACCACCTCAGGCAGCAGCAGAGAGATCAGTATAGGCTACTCACCTTACCCCAGAAATTGGGCTACTCAGAGCATCAGAGACTTCTGGACTTGACAGGGAAAGGAAGCTTACCGTCCTGCTTACCTTATGGGTATGACTGAACCTCTGCAGACCATTCCCCTTCCCTTGATGTGGTACCTGTGCTGGGGCTATGCTAGCACAGGAGTTTGGGCAGTGCTGCCACAAATTATCTCAAGGATAAAGCAGTGTCCCAGTACACTGTGCACACACCTTGTAGAAGATACAAAGGTGGGTAGCAAGTACAGTAAGTACCAAGGTAAGGCATGTGATATGCACCCCACTGAAATACAAAAGGCAACCCATGCTGCCTTTCATCTTTCATCATCATGCATTTCATCTGCAGACCTGATGAGGTGATGGATTTTATTGCTGGTCATTCATGCCACTGCCATGTTCTGTCATTTCTAGTTAACTGTCCAGGCACAAACTACAAGTACTGCTGTTGGATTGTGGATGGTCACTGTTTCACAGTCACAGAGCTACTGAGCACAGCTCCCCTTGAGCCGCTGCCCTGGCTCTCAAGGCTGCCAAGGGCATGCACCCCACTGGAATAAAAAGCTTCAGAAAGACTCACACAAGAGGAGGGGGGAAAATAATTTGGACAAGGAAAGAGAGAGCTCTTAAAAGGGCAGGGACCCCAAAATGAGAACAGGAGCATGCATCTACAGTATATGATAGAGAAATATTTTTGAGCATGAGATTAGTTAAGCTATCTTGTAATTTTTCAAGAGCTGTTGTCTTAAGGTCACCTCATAAGAGAAGCTTAACAGCAAAGGCAGTAAAGAGTTAATTTAGACTGAGATCCAAAGGTTTCACCTAAATGAAACTCAGTGGGGTGTTTTTTCTAGATAGTGCTGAGCACCTGTGTCTTCAAAGGCAGACTTTCTTTTAAAATTATGGATTTTAGATGAGTCACTTGACAAGCAAGTGGTATTTAGTGCTCTTTAAGCTATACATTTTTAAACAGCACCTATTTTTAAAAGCAGTATTTCACTGAAGAGTCTTGCATCAATGCAGAAGGTAGACTAGATGGACTGCAGGCATGAACACTTTTATCTTCCAGACTTTGATTTCTCAAGAGCCACTTGTTCTTTGTATACTGGTGAAAGAGAAGACTATTTCCTTCTGTTGCTAAAAGTGGAGGAAAGCCTGAAGTTGGTAGAAGTTAAAGCCTCAAGGAAGCTCTCATACCTTCAGAGCCTGTTATGTGACATACTTGCTACCACAGTCAGTAATAGTTGTCTAGATGATGTAAATGGATACAGGGTGGAGCCCTGTGATTTTAGAAGGAAATTGGCAACAAATTTGAACCATTCTTCATCAGGCATCTCAGGAACTCATCAAGTGCTGCTGGCTGATTTAGAGAGGAGGGAGGGCTCATGCTGCATGAGCTGCTTTGCTGGTACATCAGCTCTTGACCATATACTCACTGTGTATTTGAAATTCAATGAACTCCTCTGGTTTTTAATCCTGCTTGACTTTGGGGGGGCTTTCAGGAAGAAGATCTGCACTATGATCATGAGACCGTGATGCTGCGGTGCACTGAGACCTTCGATGATGAAGATTTCTAAACAGTATCTCCACTATCTCTACTTGGCCAAGCACTGCCAGGCACACCGGGCGTGTGAGGAGGCTTCACCTCCTTCAGTGAGCTACCTCTCTAAGCAGAGTGTGGAGACACTGTGTTGAAATGGTTTGTTACCATTGGCTTCTCCTTCCCTCATTAGTACTTCCTGATATATCAGTTGAGTAATTTATACTTTTTAAAGGTTTTAAAGGTCTTAGCTATTTATTAACAAATGTTTTTACCAATTGCTATTTAATGTTTAGACTTGCTTCACAAAGAAACTGAGGCATGCACAGTTAAGTGACCTTGCCTAGCACAAGGTGTGGGAAGAGCAGTATGGAGGCCAGATCAGTGGCAGTCTGCACACTCCCACAGGATGCAGGTCTCAAACTGCAGCCTGCAAAAGTCTCCTGGCAGTGATTACTTTTCTGGTGCAATTTTTCATCTTGGGCTGACAAAGAAAGAGGGATTTCTTCACAGAGAGTGGGATGAGGCTCTTCTATCTCTGAGGACAGCAGCACTCCCCAGTCATCCAGAAAAGTGCAGGCACAGTAATACATTTTGGATTATTTACTTTTGTGAAGTGTGTAAAGCCAAGTGATCAGTCCTGTGCTCTTCTTCCACATCTAATTCTTGGATGAGTAATGCTGCTCAGATAGTGTCTTGGAATTAAAAGTGCTGTGAAATTGAATAAAGTCCTTCACATCTCTGAGTTATCATTAAAGGCTCTCTGCAGACTTGAACAAACTGTGTTCTGATAGTGGTTATGTTGTGGCCATGCTATCAGCCATCACAAACAGAAAGGATGGAAGTTCTATTTTAAAACCTATACTAATGCTGGCATGCCTAGCTATCCATCTTCAGCAGCCAGCTTTTAGACTGAGTCCAAGAAGCCTGGACTGTGGCCCAGCATTGCCTTGGTGCATAAAGGTATGATATATTCAGGTAAAAACACATGGAGCTGACTACTGAAGTACAAGGGAAGAATAAACACCACAGAGCCCTTTCTGTCCCTGCAGTTGAGGCTGTGGTAGCACCCCCAGATGAATGTTCGCCATGCTGCTGTGTTTGAAAGTGGGGGTGCGGGGGTCCTGTTTGGGTTTAAGAGCTCTTCAGAGTTCTCCAGCCTTGCCATTCCCTGGCCTGTCCAGTGTGCTTCATTTATACATGCTGGCATTGCTTTGAGGCTAGAAGCATTGTAACGATGTGAAGGAGAAGATGAAGAACACGTTACTTTGGTCCCTCATCTTGCATCATCATCGTTCACAGGAGTGCAGGCCTGCAAGAGATTCTTTGAATACCACCTGCCACTTGCTACAGCAACCACCCGAGAAATACAATTACAGTGTACATTTTATTATTTATTAATTATTATACTTACAAAAAAGCAAGTATTAATCTCAGTGAAGGAAGCACAAGCTTATGCTACAGCAACAATGTTATTACACACCATCAGCAACCAGGACCACATGTGATCACATTGCATGTGGCATTACAGGTTGAAGCTAATAGGGAATAGGAGCAATAACCTGCACACCTGTTTTCCAGGGAAGTGCTTGTCACCACACAATAACCACACCAGACCAAACAGGTACATCAAGGATACACAGGACATAGCAGTAGCATAGGGATGCATAAGATTGCGAGCAGAAGTGTTTTGTCCAATATATTTGATGAGCATTCCTTCATCTTTGTAGGGTTGGGTGCCCCACAGGAAACTGGTTTGCCTGAGACTCCTCCCAGCACTCCAAAGGTGGTATACATTTCAGCGAAGCTGGTTTTTTCTGTCAGGTCAAGAACTTAACTAAGGTCTCTAGAGTCCCTTTGTGGTCTGAGGCAGAAGAGACAGGTTCAGAAGATAATCCATACCATTAACTTTAGATGCCTCTCTAACGGCAACATTCATTTGGCTGGCTAAATTATGGGAATATGGAATGAGATTAATTATGACTTTGATACAGCTGCTCCTTCCCCTTGGCCAGGATGAGGTATAAAGCACAAGCTGAGAGGTGAATGTTGCTTTAAGGTGCTGGAGATTAGCCCAGAGTGGTACAAGGCCCACATCAGGGATGCCTTCTCCATTGTCTCCTTCAGCTGCCAGACCAGAGGACAGGAAGCCCTTCTGCTTCAGCTGAATAGCTGCCCCTTTGGGTGCCCAAGGGTCAGTGCAAGGAAGGAAACGGAACATCTTTTCTAGGCATTTCTTGGGCTTTGGTGTTCCTCGAAGAGGAATTAGGTTCTTTCTAGAAGTGAGCAGGCAGGAAGAGGGAAGGAAAAAATTATTTCCTCAAGGCCATCAGTGGTGCAGCCAGCAGAGCTGGGAAGAGGAAGATTTTATCCTTCTCCTGCTCCACCCTCTAACAGCTGCCAGCTCATGCTTAGATGATGGGGGCTGATGACACACTTTCTGACCTGAGATGAGTTCACTTGCAGGCCAGGTGCTTATATCCTTGTATCAGCACGAATCTCAAAGTTTCTGTCTAAGCTTGCTTTAACACTGTTTTTCTGCCCAGCAGCCTTCAGTTCATCCATTCTGTTGTCACAAGACAGTCTTTTGGGGCAAGCAGGGAGATACTGAAACCAAGAGACATTGCAATATTTGGTGCCTATGCCAAACGGAAGATCATAGACCTTGGAAACCAGCTGAGAGCTCTCTGTCCCTCCCTCATGGCTTTGCTTCCATGCCAGGAGCCCTCGCTCTTCCTGTGTTCCTGCAACAGCAAAGTGAGATTGTTGTGTTTAAAACAGCAAGTGTTCAAGCATAGGGCTGCTTTGCGTGCCTCACACCACCGCTCAAATCCCAGCAGACTCAGCATAAAATACAAATCCCTTCTACTTAAACCCTTCCAGATCCAAAGAGCTCTACAAATATTCACTAACGAGCTTCCAGACAACATTCTTTTTCCTGCAACAGCTTCCAGATAAGCAGCCTTCTCCACTTCCCACATGGAAATCATGTATACCAAGAAGTTTTCATCTGCCATAGGAGATCCAAGAACAGAAGCAAGGCTGGATGTTAGCTGCCAGACACTTCAGAGTGGATTTAGCTAGCAGTTACTAGTCAGTCACAGGTATTTACCCTAGCCAAAGGAACTCCTAAGTACCTGTAACTGCTGTGGGACCAAAGTCCTCTTGGGAAAGGGAGTGAACGCACCTGTAAATTCTACCCAGAGGAGCTGACAATTGAAGGCTACAGGAAAATTAATGAGCTGAAGGGAGACTGGCTTTCCGAAAAGCCTCACACAGTAACAGGATCGGGTTAATAGAGTGTCCTTCCTTCCTGCTCTTTTTCTGCAGCAGAAAAGAGGGTTTCCTCTCCTGTTCTTATGCCCTCCCTCCCCATGCTAGATGAAAATCCAAGGCTCTTTGCTGCCTGTGAGGGCCAGCTGCAGGTGGCCTGTCTTTGGTCACCAGCCTTTCCTACTGCTTTCCACTGCTGTGGCTTTAGTTCAGCCTCAGTTTTAGCAGCTCTCATATTGGCACACACTGGCTCCTTCCACTTCTTGTAGCTGCTTTTCAGTGATCCTCAGCCCTCTCTGGGAGGAGTGCAGTCACACAGTGTTTCATGGTTGCTGGCACAACTCCTATCCATAGAACAGGAAGTAATGAAGAAAAAAAGTACCAGGGAAACCCCAGGACAGGCACAAACTAAAAGTTCATTTTAGCAAATCCTACCTGGAACAGTGTTATCCAGGATAAAGCCCAGAAGCCCACCCACAAACATGCCAGTGGTGAGAAGCACCAGGATTACTTGGTCAAGCTGGATGATTCCTAGCAGAAAAATAAAGCTTTAGATCATTGCGCAGAAAGATTTTTTTTAATCTGTTTTACCAGCAACATTTCTAGTGCCAAGAGGCTGCAAGCTGCATATTGCTTGGACTAGGCTTGCTTGGACGAGATTTACAAATCCAAAGCGGAGTGTAAGGTTTGGCAGTGGAAGGGAGAATGATCTCACAGCCAGTTTCAGACCTACAGTCTTATTCTACATGATTATTCACAGACCCATGGTGGGAAGGAGATGGTTCATAAATACATTAAGACCCTATTAACAATGCAGACCCCAGCACCGTGTGAGAAAAAGCCATCTTCTGCTCCAAACACATTCAGCACATCCACAACATAACACCTAACAGTACCCTAAAGGAGCACAAGCTTCAGTTGCCAAAGAAATCTGAGTATATTTCGCATGGGATTTCACCACAAGTTCATCAGGTGTGATGTTTCCCCTTGAGGGTTGATGACCATGAGCAAAGCCCAGTGGCACTTAGCACCTGACTGACCATCTATAGAGCATGTGGTCTGTGGCCCAGCTCTTTAATCAGCCCACCCAGCACACCACATACACTTTAAGAGAGAGGACACTCTGGCCTTTGTGATGAAGACATTAGTCACACAAGACACAGCAAAGGGCCAGCTGTTGCAGAACTGACATTTCAATAAAGTGAACTTGACAGAATTTAGTAGAGGAGGATGCTCTTGCATTTTGAAAGCACAGCATTTTATTGTGTATGAGCATATAAGAAAGCCTCATTCATTAAGAACCTTGACCAAGATTCAGCCCTGGAGTATTCTCTTGCCCTGCCCCAGGAATGTGTCCCAGGGAAGTGCTCTGCAATCCTTAGCCCAAGAAGAATCTGCTGAGGTACAGTCGCTGACCAAAAGCAGAGATTTCTGCACCAGAGCTGTGCATCACAGCAAATGGCAAAAACAGCCCTCATAGAAAAAAACAGGCAACAGTCAAAGCACGGGTTTCAGCATTTTATCAGGAAAAACTATTTTAAAAGATTTTTCTGATCAGCCTTCTTCAGTTTTATGCTACAGAAAATGCTTCTGATGTCACTTCTTACCTGTTTCCAACAGCGTACTATTTTTGCTTGCCCAGTTGGGAATTGTGAGGCCAGCAAATAGAGAAAATCCAAAGATAAAGATGTTCCTTGAGGAGTTCATATCTGTGTACTGCACAGAGAAATTTCATACAATAAAAGCATAAAACTGTGGATTACTGCTGTTCATGAGACATGGTGGGATACAAACACTGGAATCGGGAATGGACCCAGCCCTGGTGCTGCTGGGGCATTTGTGATCCTGCAGTCCCCAGTGCCAGCCAGCCCTGCCCTTACTGGGGAGCCCACTGTGATTCAGCCCCTCTGGGTACAGCCCCTTATCTTTACCAGAGCAATTACCAACATAAATGTTTACATTTGCTGCAATGTGGTTATAGCTGACACAGTCTGGTAAGAATCTGACTTGAAGCTGGGGGTCCTGTGTGCAGTTTTGTGCACCACAAAATAAGATGTAAAGCTATTGGTGAGTGTCCAAAGGAGGGCCACAAGGATGGTGAAGGGTCTGGAGAAGAGGAGACTGAGGGGAAAACCCACTGCAGTCTGCAGCTTCCTCGTGACGGGAAGAGCAGGGGCAAGTACTGATCTCTTAACTCTCATGACCTGTGACAGCAAATGGCATGAAGCTGAGTCAGGGGAGGTTTAGGTTGGATATCAGGAAAAAGCTTTTCACCCAGAGGGTGGCTGGGCTCTGGAACAGGTTCCCCATGGAAGTGGTCACAGCACCAAGCCTGACAGAGCTCAAGAAGTGTTTGAACAATGCTCTCAGGCACAGGGTGTGACTCTCGGGGTGTCCTGCTCAGGGTCAGCTGTTGGACTCGATGGGTCCCTTCCCACTCAGCTTATTCTGTGATTCTCTGTTCCAATGAAATTAAGTCCCCTTCACCAGGGATGACACAGTGCTGACACAGCTGTTACCTGTAAATTGGAAATCCCCACTGCTGCGATAACTCCGAACATCACAAGGAACATGCCTCCAATCACAGGGATGGGAATGCTGGCAAGCATTGCCCCAACCTTCCCAAAGATGCCACTCAGGAGCATGGTACAGGCACCAGAAATGATCACCATTCGACTCCCTACCTGGGGCAAGAGGAAGAGGAGGCAGTCACGCACTGACCAGCAAAGAAAGGCGAGGGGTGGCAGGCTCCAGTGCCAGCCTGCCAGGTAGGTGATGCAGCTCTGGCCCTAGCACTCCATGGCATGTTCAGGAACAGCTTCGGGTACAGCTGCTGGTATCTGACACTAGTACAGAGCTGGGATGCTGAATGGGAAGCATCAGTATTTGCACCATAAATATTTATCATGCAAGGCACTCTGAGAGCACCATACCTACTGACTCAGTATTATCCTCTCTCCTACTATTGACAGAACTTCAACAGTTTTCTATTAAACTGAAATTAAAAAAAATAAATTAAGAGCACAGTAATCCTCACCTGTTCTTGCTTGTTCTTTCTTTAGCCTAGAAATATCTTGGCATACATTCAAGCCTGGCATTGCAAACCCCCAGTCAATTCACTGGACAATCCTTCCACCGGGGTTTGGATTGCTATCCAGAAGTGGCTTTCAATGAGGTGTCTCACAATGATCCCTCCATTCCCTGGAGACCAAAATTTCAGAGACCAGAGCTGGTTGGCTGCTCCATCCTGAGCTCTAGGATCTGATATATCCTTTCTATGGTCAAGAAATAAGAAGTGAGGAAGTCTTGGTCTGTCCCTATCTCGCAGCACCCATCCATCTTCAGTAAAATCATTTTTTCTCATTTTTTTTCCCCTAGAAAGAGTCAGGGTAGCCTTTTCTTTGCTGAGCACTACAACAAAGATGAGATGAAGCACCAATCCATGTCCTTCATTCAAGTCTGCTAGAGCATATAAATAGGAAAGAAAAAGAGTATCTGCCAAAGGGTTGAAAGAGACATTATATGGAAAGTGTAAAGGAAAGCAGCAATATTTGTTAAACTTCCAAATTAAGATGTGCCTTGCCCACATCAAAACTTGGACTGCCTAAAGAATCATGCTAAACTTACAATATTTGTGTTAGGGAAACTCTAATCTTCTGCAAACATTTTATAATTCAATTAAATATTTTAATCCCTCCCTTTAAATATCTGAAGAATGTCTACTTATGGGACAGGCTTTTTGTGAATGCTTTCAACAAAAACATTCTCAGTAACTTCTTAAACACATCCCTTTAAAATATTTTAAGTCTTTCTTGATTGTGAAAGTTAAATTAAAAAGATTTGTGTGGAGTTTCAAAATCATGCATTGCCTTCAGGTGCTTCATTGTTTTTGATATTCGTTGGCTTAAAACCTTGGGACATTATTACCATCTAAATGTTAATTAATAAAAGCCAACAGATCTATTTATTCCAGGATTAGAACAAGGATTCAGAGTCTCAGTTTGCTAAAATGTTGAATTACCATCTATATGAAGCTGGCCTTAAAGGCAAAAGACCTAATCCAGTGATAGCACTGTGACCATATTCTGCTAAAGTCACTAGTTTAGAGTTTGTTTCAATTATGTCAGGAAAACAATAAAATCAGTTCTCTTTCTTAAGGCTGAAGAAACTGGAGGGTTCCCCACAATACGTGGTGACTGGGGCCTTTACCTCTCTTTAAAATGTACTGAGTTCTCAGTAGTGGCATCCTGGGCCTGATCAAGCAGTTTAAATATTGCTGCCTGGTGCCATGTAAGATGTTGCATCTTGGCAGATTCTAGCAGCTTCTCCTTGCCTCGTCCATCAGCCCCTGTATGTATCTGAGATCTCCAAAGACTTCTCAGGTGGTGCTAGACATCTTCATTTAAGTAGAGGAAACAAGTCCCTTGTGTTTCCATTTGTTATGGAAAAATGTGTTTGCCATGTAAAAAAAAAGAAATTAAATCTGCCTTGTGCTCTCAGCATCCCCATCTGTCCCAGCTGGAGTGTTTACACTGATTTAAATTGACTGAGATGACACTCTAGGTTTTCAGCTCTTTCAAGTGTGGACAGAGTGAGCAGAGGTGGGATCCAAGGGAAATATCTCTCCTGAATCAGCAAGGATGGCATGTCCTCCTGGAGGCCTTAGCATACATTATAAGAATATGTGTCTTATAAGAATATGTGTCTTATAATCTGATAATTATGAATTTGGACAGCATCCCATACGTACAATGTATGTAGCAAACTGCACATCAGAAAAGAATTGTTAGTATGCACAGACTTTCCAGAGACAGTGCACACGTGGTGATAGGCTAAACTGGACTCCATGCAGACATGGTGCTCGAGTCAGCCACCTCAGTCAAACACTAACACTGCCATGTGTGAAAGATGGTTAGAGTGAGTGAGGTTTATAAAATTCAGTGAAATAAGTAATATTATAGAATGGAAGATGTAAGGAAACTGCATTTATTTACTGACTCACAGCTGTTCTGGCATGATATTGCTTGCTTGGCAATGATTTGAAAATGCTGTCCAGTTAGCAGCTAGATATCTGTCAGCCTAACCTCTGGCTGCAAAGCTTAGTGAAAATCTATGATCTGATTGTCAAGCTTATCTCTGGAAATTTCTTTCCCTGATAAGTGCAATTAATATACTGGAGGGACTCACAAAACTTTGTAGTGACATAAAAACACAAACCTTTGCTATCACATTTTATAACCCTGAAGAAATAGTCTGCCTTTCACATGATTGCCATCCTTGGGTTATAGAAATTGTGGAATTTGAAGCCCTATTATTCACCCTTCCTCTCTCCTCTCCTCTCCTCTCCTCTCCTCTCCTCTCCTCTCCTCTCCTCTCCAGGTTAGCTCAGATGTAGCATTGTCTCCTCAGCCTTACCTAGGCCAGGTGCCACGGTGGGTGAGTGCACTAACTCCCTATGCAGGCCAGAAGCAGAGAAAGGGAAGCGCTGCCCACCTCTGTTAAGTAATTTATAGAGCCTCTGAGCAGGTCACCGATGTGCCAAGGCACAGTTTTCCAGCGTTCCTTTGCGAGGTGGGCTGGATCACAGCCATGTGCACCGCTCTCCCGCACACGCACCCCAGGGGAGCCCTGCGGGCGGCACGGCAGCAGCGAGGCTCACCTTGGTGATGCCCAGGGCCCCCACATTCTCGCTGTAGGATGTGGTGCCGCTGCCCGTGCCCCAGGCCCCGGCCAGGAGGCAGCCGATGCCCTCCACGCCGATGCCGCGGCTGATGGCGTGCTGCGGCGGCGGCGGGGCCCCGCACAGCCGGGCACACGCGTAGTAATCTCCCACGGACTCCAGCATGGACGAGATCACCCCGGCCAGGATGCCAAAGATGCCGGCCAGGCTCACCGTCGGCGTTCCCCACTGGCCTGCAAGTGAAGAGCTCGGTTTAGGTGGGTGGGGCACACATGCCCAGAAATCTGCCCCGGGGGAGGAAGAGCAGCTGGAATGCCTGTGGGTGTTCGCCTGATTTTTGACTTTTCATCTCCTCCTGGCAGTCGTACGTGGAGGTGCAAGCAGGAGGAGGCAGGATGGGGAAGGGGAGGCAGCGGTACCTGGGTAAGGCAGCCGGAACCAGGGCGCCTGTGACAGAACGTCGCCGCGGGTGTCAGTCCGGGCCAGGTGTCCGTAGGCACTGGGGGCCGCGGGCAGGACGCTGGTCACTGTCAGCACGTAGCACAGCAGCCAGCTCAGGGACAGCCCCAGCAGCACCTGCCCGGCACAACCAGCATGGGGGCTGCTTAGGGCATGGCTGCGTCTTCTGCACCGCTCCGGAGGACACAGAGTCCCCGCCCGACCCTTTTCCCTGCGCACGGAATGGAGCCAAAGAGGCAGCAGGAGCTCCTGGTGGCCCTCCCTCCTCTCTCTCCTTCCCTCCCAATGATGAGGGCCATGGGGAGCTTTTCCCCCTCTGCCCCTTACCACACAGGCTCAGCTGGGAACCACTAACTCATCTGGACACGAGTGGAAAGAGCCCGGGGCCAGTGAGGCCAGTCCCTGTCACAATTCCCTGGTATGCAGGAACCCCAACGTACCGGGAAGATCTGGAAGACGTAGATGGGAGAGAAGTGGCGCTTCTTGTCTCTCTGGTAAGATGGCAGCGGCACAGCAACATCTTTCAAGTACTGAGAGAACAGAACTATGAAAAAAATTGTCCTAGAAGGAGGGAAAATGAGACCATAAACAAAGTGGGTGCCCAGCTGCCCACCTGGCCCCACATTAAGTGAAGACTTGCTACCCAAAAACCCAGGACTCCAGAGGACCCATAAAACCAGGCTCTCAGCAGCAGAGGGTGGCTCCCCATTCCACCAAGCCGGAGGTGGAACAAACTTTCCATCATAATCTACTGATAGCACTGCATATTTGCAAATAACTCTTTTATCCTTATTGTTTCAAGACTGACACCGCAGATAGTGCCTCTGTAAGTATGACACAGTTGCAGAAAGGTTAAAAATGCCTCCTAAGTAAGACCTGACAGACATGCAAGGTTCAGGTTCTGCCTGTATAATTCAGATATACTAGAAATATAGGATTTCTTGTTTCCTGATTTCAGGTTTACCTATGCTGCTCTTTGAGGGGCAAAAAGCTCCTGTAACACAGAGTAAAAGAAGAGGATTTGGCTTGGCTGTGCACATCCCTGTTCTGAAAGAAAAAAACCGTGGTGGGACTGTGGGGCTGCACATGGTGCCCAAAGAGCCCTCCCAGCCAGCCAAGAAGGGGAAGCATGGCTCTCTGTCTGTGAGGGCTGCTGGATGGAGGGGCCCTCCACGGCAGGGCTGTTCCCATGTGTCCCTGGCAGCACCCGGGGCTTGTGCGAGTGGAAGTGACTGCAGGTTCAGCTCCTCTCCCATCCCTTGTGTAGGACACATCTGTGAACAGCAGCACATCTGGGTGCACTCACAGCCTGCCCGCCCCCTTTTGCCCAGAGAGGCCAACCAGATGAAGCTGGGGGCTACCACAGCTGGAGAGAGGGCAGGGACTGGGCATCCCACTTCAGTTGCTGAGCTAGTAGAAGACCACGGACATTTCCTGTGTTAGCCAGGCCTCTGAAGGGCTCCTTATTATTTTATAACAAATCTAAATTTTATACATTGAGTGAATTAATCTGGATAGGATTTGGTGAGAAATCAGTTGCACCAGCTGAAGTGCACTGACTTCACTGGAAAACTGGTAGTTTTCCCCATGTGAAAAAGTGACCAACTGTAGGTGCAATAGTCAGAGACAGGCAGAATTCCAACAGAGCAAAGAAAACTCTATCCTCAGTTCTCTGCAAAGACGTTCCACAACATACACAATTCAAAGCTCTGGATGACTGGAGGGAGAAAGTCTGAGGAGGAACTGGTTTCCATTCGTGGTTTCTAACGCTACAGAGAACAGACAGAGGCTGTTTGAGTGCACATTTTGTGCATTTGCACGAACAAAGGTGCTCAGCAGCCTTATGACTCACCACAGAACCTTCATCTGCCTCAGGGAGGTATCACTGCTTATTATTCACGTTGCTTGACACATTCTATTAACAAGCTCTATTTTCAATTGCTTACAGTTCTACTTTAACTTTACCCATTGAGGATGAAAATTTCCATGGAAAAAGTCTGCCTCAGGGCAAATATTTTTTGAAAAATATCTATCAAACCTATTTCAAAGAGTGATGTTCAGGAAAGAGCATATAACCTGCATTGAAAAGGTCATTTTGCCTTAAGCAGTAACAAGATCTCGATATGACCTGAAGCAGAAATTTGAGATTTAGAAGAACTTGTTCTTTGGGGCGAAGGATGTTGTTGTTCCTCACAAAAATCTGCTCAGGTATGCTCAGTCTGCAACAACAACTCCAGGTTCCAGGTCAGCAGAAACATCTCAGACTTTTGCATTTGCAGATCATAAAGATTCTGAGTTACTTGAGTATGTCCAAGCCTTGCCCAGTGATTAACTGTATGTGCATCAACACCAGAGAGTGAGTCACCACACACTAGAGAAGTTTCCTGAGGCCACAGTGGAATTTTATATCACAAGAGCTGTGGGATGTGGTGGGGCTGAACAGCAGGCCTGAGTCCACATGGCTCATGTTTCCCTCTTCATCCCTGCTTTCCCTCTTTCACTAACACCCGTGGAGTGTGGAGAAGGCAGCAAAAGAGGACACATCTGCGATGGCTCAGAGAATAATGATCAGGCTGGGGCTAAGGTATCTAAGGAAAGAAAGGATTTGGATTATCATGGGTAGAAGATGGGACAGAAATGAACAGGACAGAAAGGTGATTTGGGCTGAGAGCAGGGACACAGGCTGAAGGGCTGGGACCCCATAAATGGAGTGGCACAGCTGGGCAAAGAGATCAAGCATGAGTCTGAGGTTAGGAGCTAGTGGCTGGAGAAGAGCAGTGGAGAAAGGAGATAGTTCAGGCAAGGACATACAGTTTGAAGAGGAAAATTCACATTTGCTAAGCCAAGGGGTTAGGACAAATCACCAGAGCTGGAGAACAGGACAAGAAGCTAGGAGTATGATGGGAGAAACAGTGGTGAAGAGACCAGGAAAGGTGTACTGGAGCATGTCCTCCCAACAGTGTGCTGTCTTCCAAGGGCTACAGTCAAGTCTGTGTCCAAAGCCTCCAAAATCAGCTCTGAAAGCACCTGCAAATAATGGGAGCCCATAGAGAGATTTACAATCTACTCCCATTGCATTCTATCTCATGCTGAAGTCTACATCAGGGAGATGAAGGTGCCAAGTCTGCAAGGCAACCATGCAGTGTCATTTCTCCTTTTTCAATTCATTTCTGAAATAACCAAGGAAATTTTGCTACAGTCTACAGTCATGCACAAGGGCAGGCACACAAACATCCCTGAAAGAGCACTCACTGCTGCAAAGCTACATGTGTAAATAGACCTTTCCAGACCCCCTTAGGCCCTCTCTGCAGAGAACAATTCCTCCTACTCATGTGAAGACAATACATAAAGCACCAGCTATTTCAACATAGAATACCTAACTCTGAGTGCTTAACTTTGTCATTTTAGGAATGTCTTTTAAACTTAAATAATGGGTGTGTAAGAGTGTGTGTAGACAGCTGTGACAGAGACTGCATACATATGGGAAAGGCTTGTATCTCTACTGACCTATGAACTTTGGATTTTTACAAAAATCAGGTTTTTTAAACTCATTTTTGGGTTTTGCTTTATTGCTGAGGGCTTTAGCTTCCTGGAGGTTGGAGAATGACTGCCACGTGGCTGCCTTGCACAAGCCTGTCACATGTTGGTGCTCAACAAATAAACCTTGAACCCAGTGGAACTCTGCTACAGACTGTGATGATTGGTTTCATATTGGAGACAGGTGATTTGTATACTCTCAGCTTTCCCACAGAGATGTGAGACTTACATGAATGCCATGCCCCAGTGCTGCCCAGCCATATCCCCAGCCGACTCAAACAGAGGTAATGCAACCAAGGTGATGGTGGGGGCAATTGTCAGGGGGCCGATGAACCTCATCAGAAATCCAATCAGGCCCGAAAATCCAACGAAGATTTGAAAGCAAGAAGCTACAATGATAGTTCCTTGCACCTGGAAAAGTGGAGGATGAAAACAGAGGTTGGAGGGAGCTCCAGTTGTTGAGCCTTTTCTTCATGTCAGTGCAAATGCAGCGTGAGAGCCAGGCTCAGTCTCCAGTGACAGACTGGCACAGAGGCCTCCTGCTGACAGCAGTAAAACCTGCCTGAGAATTACCTGTGGGAAGGACCACCAAAGCAGCAGCACAGCAACTCCCCCCTTGGCTGATGCATTTAGTCCTCAACCAGGGCAAATTTTGTTCCAGAGATCACCTCCTCCCTGTCCTCTTGGGCCACCCAAGCATGCATCACCTGCCCTGCACTCTCCTGCCTGCTCTTCCAAGACAGGGGAAAAGCTCTTGCCCCAAAAAAGGGAGCAGGGCCATGGTCTCTACTGATCTCCCTTTTGGGAAGGGCTTGGATCTCTTCAGCACATTGATAGGGCAAGTGACTCACCAAAGCCTCTTTTTTTTCCTATCAGTTTCACTCTGGGAACATATTTATCACCCTGAACTTCCCTGTGTTTGACAGTCATTACCAAGGAGCCAGCAATTACATTCTGAAATGCTGCTCACCTCAGTGTCAGCTTCAAGCAGGGTGAGGCTGCTCTCTGCCTCCTCAGATTTGGTGACAGCCCAGGCTGGGACCTCTGTGGTGCTGAGCACCTTCCTTCTCCCAGCTCCAAAGGGAAGAGAAACACAGGGGTTGGGTGAATTACCCAGGCTGAAAGAAGATGCAGCAGTGCCTTTGTGGTAGATTTATGTGTATGAGCAGAGAGCAGCCTGTGCTGCACAGCAAGTCTCTAGTGAGCTTTCAACACATCCCAAGTGGTTCGGAAAGCACACCAACAAATGGATCAACAGAGGCAAATTTAGTCACTTTCTCTGATAAAGGTAATCGATGTAGAATAAGGCAGTGAGACCCCTGACCTTTCCTCCTCCCTTCTGATTACCTAAGGATGCCCTTTTCCTTAATATTTACAGTAGGTTTTGCCTTGCATTTTTTTACTAGGTTTCCTGTGCCTAGACAGGGTTCTTTCCTTGACAATATTTTCCCTGCCTTTTTTCTTCTAGGCTAACCATGCTTTATGGAGAAGGAATCTGACTGGACCAGTGGAGATTTTGTAGGGACCATAAATCTCATGAGGAGGTCTGCTTGTCCCCTGCTCAGCAGCAGTGAAGCACCTGCTTTTTTTTATAGAGAATAGATGCTTAGGAAGCTGCAAAAGCATGAGGGCCAAGGTTCATTGGGAAGAGAAGTTTCTCCAGCTGTGGTGGCCATGACATGGTCAGGCACTTTACTGAAAGCAAAGAGCCCTGATACAGAGCAGGTGCCACTGAAAATGTAATGTACCTCTCGCATCCGTGTCTGCCAGACTTGGATGAATTCTGGTGAAGAGGTATTCACCAGGGTGGCATTCTGTGTCCAGGCAGGGCACTTCCAAGTGGGGAGAGACAGCATTGCCAAGGTGGGGGTCAGGAATGTGAAAGTCCCTCCTTGAATAATAGGCAGCCTGGAAGGAAAACAGAGGGGGAAAAAAAAAGACAAGTGAGAATGCTAGAAACTCTGCTCCATAAGGATGAGAGAAAGGAAAGCAAAATAAATTTAAAAATCGGTCTGCCCATGGCCTCTGATAGTATCTTCTGTATTGTTGTGGCAGGCCACCATCACTGACCATGGGTAGGAATTGCTGCCCATTGCATGGAAAAGCAATGATGTGGGGTAAGAGCTGAGGTTCAAATACCAGCATTGGAGGGGCACAGCGGTGCTACAGTCCAACCCTGCTACCCCACATTAAGAAAAAGTAGTGCTTCTAATGGCTGATGAGACCACAGACCTGCACAGAGTAGGAAAAAACTGGTGGAGGGAAGAAGACTAAGGAAGAAAGAAGGTGAGATGCTGAAGAAAAGCTCAGCGTCAGTCTTGCCAATATCCAGTTTTTTTTCCTCTGTCCCCTTTGGCTGCTTTGGTTTTCTTCACAATGTGCTCATGCACACAAGGACAGGCACTAACTACTCTCCATGTCACAGTAATCCTCAGTCTGAGCGTGACAGAAAATGTGACTTGGCTTTTAGCACACTGGGTTTTAATGCCAATTCCTCTTCTGCATTTCCACTGAAACTAAAAAGGAAACCTGCATGGAGCGATCTATGGGCACTGACTGGGTGAGACCTTGGCTCTCCCCACACATCACATGTCTCTTGGCTTGGAGTATCTCTCCCTCTGGGAATCCCTCAGGTTAGCAAGGAGTTTGCATCTCCAGGGGAGTTCAGCACTGGCTTCATGCAGAGATTTATACAGTAGAGCAATGTTCCTTTGAGCTACACCAGCCTTTTTCCATGCATGAGGAAATGAAGAGACCTAAAAGGCCTGACTGGCTCCTCAAAGCCCCACACAAGCCCCCATTGCAGTGCACATTTTTTTAACCATTCCTCTAGTATGCTTGAAAAATCCTAAGCTGCCTGAGGGTGGGCACAGCATCCCTGAAACAGCCAGAGGAAACCTCCAAGGTGGCTCTGTTTCCTCCCTTTAGAAAGCACCCCTAGGAGGAACTCCCAAAGCAACTTCTCCTTGTGCCAGGAGCTCTCATGGCATCTGTCCAGAAAAGCCATGGGTCAGCAATTCAGGTGACTGCTTTTGCAGGGCACAGCCTTCCCTGAAACAGGCATTTCTACCATTCTTGAAGTAAGAGATGTCACAGCTGTAACAGACCATGTCTCTGTCACCTAAACCAAATATTTGGACTAGTCATGCACAACTGAAGCACTGTCAAAGCTTTGAAACAATTTTCCTGGGCAAGGCACAAAAAACAAACAAAAAAAAAAACAGAGAAGGCCCAGGGCCATGACTTAGAATCTAACAATAGATTTATAGTTCCTGCTGTGCTGGTCCTTATGATATTTCACAGGCCATGTTGGCATGGGTCGGCTCAGAGGAAAATGGAGTGCCAAGGTGATGCTTATGGGCACACTGAACTCTTTCCTGTGGGGTTTGCAAGAGGGAAAGCTGCAGAAATAGGGAAGGCAATATTATGTTTTGATAATCAGTATATGATGTCCAAGCATTTGCTAAGCAGGGCTCACCGTCATGGCAGATGACCTGTGTCTCCTCTCAGGAGCCTCTGATAGTGTCTCCAGTGACTGTCTGGGATCTACTGCTGCTTTTTCATGCTGTGTAACATGACTGAGCTGCAGGTTGCAGTGGGTCAGCTCTTCCCTTGGCTATTGCTTCATGAATGTCCTCATGCCTAATAGCTGGGATCAGCAACAAGGCAATTGCACCCTCAGCATGGCAAAAACCATCCAAGTTTATCCCATGGGAACAACTCCTTACCACTTAATTTGATCTGTTGTACCTCAATTAGCTATTCAGCCATGGGAGAGAGAGGCTCTCTGCTACTCTTTCATCCCCAACTAACAGAGAGCAAGGGGACATTACAGCTCTCAGGAATTCACTGAGACATTTGGAGGGTGCCTGGAAGAACTCAGAATGCCTGAATTGTACCAGCAGCGATGGCCATGCACTCCAGCCTGAATTTAGCTGAAGAACCAGTTTCTCTGATTTTTGTGGTCAAGGTGCTCCTCCTTCTTCCACTAATCCTATAACAATGTAGGAGAAGGGTAGCAGTCTTCAGGAAGTTTGTCTACAGACACTTCTTAGGACTAAGAGAGATAGAAAAGTTTCAGTAGTGAATGAAGCAGGAGGAGGAAAAACATTTCGTGGAGCTGGCAGTTGACCAGTGATTTGATGGCAGAAGTTTTAACCAGAGTCCCTCAGATTCAGAAGCCAAAGAATGTGAAACTTTTGTCTTTGAAGCAAGAAACATGGGTTCCCGCCATACTGGAGGAAAAAACAGCCTGTGGAAAGAGAGAGAGAGCCCAGAGTCATGACAAGGGGAATAGAAGAAATTATTCAAGGTCAGCAAAGATACAGGGTCTTTCTAGAAAGGGGGAGTACTTGCACTCCTCTCTCTCATTAAATACTTTTTTTCTGGGTGCTGAATGGCAACTCCATGCTCATCTCACTGCTGGTTGCTCATCAGCAAAGGATTTACCTTTTATGCCACAAATCCCTGAGCATGGGAAATGGCATCACATTGTGTGATGCACTGCTGAACTCTTCCCTGAGTCTCTAAGTGGTGGCAGATGGATTTCAATTTCTCCTTATTATCCCCTCCCCTAGAGTTTCCTGTAGAATCTGTGCTCTCTTGACCCTGGATCCAAATCCAAAGGCTCCTGCTCAGCTGGAGGATCCCTGAAATAAGCAAGGTACTTTTTACTGCGTGTTGCAATACTCTATTATTTTGAGGACAGATTCCTTATAAGCCCAACAAAAGGTGTATGAAGCATCAGGAGATGCAAAATTCAGAACAGCAAGGTAGCTCTGCAAAGCTCTCAGCAGTTTCAGGGTGCTTTGGCATGGACCCTGATTGCCCGAGGGTAATAAATGACTCTCACTGATAAACTCTACAACAGGGTGGTGGCCTAGCACACAGTAATTGCTCACATCCCCAGTTCTTGCATTTGGCCTACCTGACTCCAAAGAGGACTTGCAGCAGGGTGCAAATTCCTGAGACAAAGAAGATGGTGCTGATCAGGTGGCTCTGGGTGAGTAGGTCAAACTGGAGGCAAAGCGCTTTGGAGAGGATCAGCGGGACGGCTACAAGACCTCCTATGGCTGTCAAGAAGTGCTAGGAGCCACAGAGAAAGACTGGGTGAAGAAGGACACACAGCTGGCTCTATGTTATTATCATGTTGTTGAGAGCCCACAGATTTGTGCTTGGGCTATATTAGCATTACCCATTCTCTCGATTTTTTTTTTTTTTTGGCAGCTTTAATGCTTTGTTAGGGGCTGTTCCAAAGCACCTACAAGAATTGCAATGCAGCCACTGAAATGCCTCCTCCTTTACGTGTCCAAAGACCTTTTGTAGTGCTCTGGACTTGCCAGGCCACTGTCAGACACAACCAGTTTATCCTCAGCACCTCCAGACAAAGCTGTTGGACATACTTTTCCAGGAAGCTGGGGACCTCCCAAGGTACATGGAGGTACAGGATTTGCAAAATCAGGCAAAGTGAATGCAAATATTTCAGTCCATCTTATTTGCAACCACAAAGTTGTGGCACACTGGAGTTACAGGTTTTTTTACATTAATAGCTTTTCTCACACAGTGCAATTATTGATAACCATAAAAAGTGAATGCCAAAGAATGGAAGAATTGGGCAGTGTATTTGTCAGAAGAGTCACATACATGTTTCTACAATCACCTGTAGTTAATGACTAAATCTGAAAATAATTTTTAAAATCTCTTTTTGTTTTAATTATTAACCTTTGTTGTTCACTCTCACTTTGGAGCACAGGACTGCCGTGGTGGAACTACTGGCACTCAGAAACACACTTTATTTGCTACAGTGTGTTTTATTAAAATTATGATGCGGATGTGTTGGGTTGATACACTCTAAATTTCCATTTAAGGAAATAAAGTACAAAATTCCACCAACCTCCAAGCACAGTCTGTCATTATCTTAATGACTGTGAGGTCTCTTTTCCCACAGGCTCCCTACCCAGCATGGCATTGGTGGCACTGGGACATTTAACACACCTGGGCACAGACACCAGCCCAGTGTGTGCCCTGCTACTGAGCTTTTGTTGCCATGGGAAGGCAGAAGTTCAGAAGCCCTTACATGTTTGCCTATTTTCAGCCAAGGTTCCTAACATGTTCTTATTAACTATTTGACCCCAGCCCCAGGACTCTGCCTGACCATTTGCACTTCAAAGGGTGCAATGGAGCTGTGGGCGTGATGATAATAGTCAGTGCTCAGGATGTGGACCAAAGGACTTGAGCTCACTAAGATCCAGCCTCAGAGCTCCATTCAAGCCCTGTGAAAGTAAAGCAGTCCCAAATTCAGGTTTCACCCCAATTAACTGGCTGAACAACCATGTAACTTTCACCTACTCCCAACCTCCACCTGCATCCCATCTCACCTGAAGGCCCAGCAGGATGCACAGATACCAGGGAGGCACATCTGTGACAATGTAGCCAAGCTTGGTTCCACTGTGGCCAGTGTCCCCACCTTCCTCTGGGCCCCGGGCAGCACGAGCTGGTGAGGAATGGCAGGAGCTCCCATGTTCACCCTGGACAACAGGAGAGACAATTTGTCAGCTACAGCCTGGCCCTGCAGATGCCCAGCAGCTGCCTCTCTTGCAGCACACTCCACATCTGGCAGGAAAACCTCCTGTGTAGCTTTCTACAATGCCACAATATCAAAAAAACCCAAACCAAACCAAAAAACAACCAACCAAAAAAAACCAAACCCAAAAACAAAAAAACCCAAAAACAAAAAAAAAACCAAAAAAACCCACCAAAACAAAACAAAACAAAACAAAACAAAAAAACCCCCCACAAACAACAACAACAAAAAAAAAAACAAACAAAAACCCCAAAACAAACAAAAAACCAAAACAAAACATAAAACAAAAAAACCAACCAAACA